GGATGCGGACTTTGCCACGACGGCCGTCGGTGAAGCTCCCTATGGGCCACGAAACGTTGTGCTGGGTGGGGGAAGCGCATGCGGACTTTGCCAATGAGACCCTCGGTGAAGCTCTCTATTGGCCACGGATCGGTGGGGCTTCCTATGGGGCAACGAAACGCTGTATTGGGTGTGCGGGACGCATGCGGGGGGTCCCATTGTGACCTTCGGTGGGGCTCCCTATGGGGCCACGAAGCGATGTACTGGGTGTGCGGGACGCATGAGGGTGGTCCCAGAGGGGCCTTCGGTGTGGCTCCCTATGGGGCCACGAAACGTTGGACTGGGTGCGGGGCGACGCATGCGGGCTGTCCCACAAGGACCTTCGGTGGGGCTCCCTATGGAGCCACGAAGCGCTGTACTGGATATGCGGGACGCATGCGGGCGGTCCCACTGGGACCTTCGGTGGGGCTCCCTGTGGAACCACGCAGCGCTGTACTGGGTGTGCGGGACGCATGCGGGCGGTCCCATTTGGGCCGTCGGTGGAGCTACCTATGGGGCCACAAAGCGCTGTGCTGGGTGGTGCGGGACGCATGCGGGCGGTCCCACTGGGGCCGTCGGTGGGGCTCCCTATGGGGCCACGAAGCGGTGTACTGGGTGGTGCGGGACGCATGCGGGCGGTCCCATTGGGGCCGTCGGTGGAGCTCCCTATGGGGACACGAAACGCTGTACTGGGTAGTGCGTGACGCATGCGGGCTGTCCCACAGGGACCTTTTGTGGAGCTCCCTATGTGGGCACGAAGCGCTGTACTGGGTGGCGCGTGACGCATGCGGGCGGTCCCACTGGAGCCTTTTGTGGAGCTCCCTATGGGGCCACGAAGCGCTGTACTGGGTGGTGCGGGACGCATGCGGGCGGTCCCACTGGGACCTTCGGTGGAGCTCCCTATGGGGGCACGAAACGCTGTACTGGGTGGCGCGTGACGCATGCGGGCGGTGCCACTGGAGCCTTTTGTGGAGCTCCCTATGGGGCCACGAAGCGCTGTACTGGGTGGTGCGGGACGCATGCGGGCGGTCCCACTGGGGCCGTCTGTGGAGGTATGGGGCTAGAAACGCTGTACTGGGTGGTGCGTGACGCATGCGGGCGGTCCCATTGGGGCCTTCGATGGAGCTCCCCATGGGGCCACGAAACGTGTGAGGGTGTGCTGAAACGGGTGATGATGATGATGATGATGATGATGATGATGATGATGATGATGATGATGATGATGATGATGATGATGATGATGATGATGATGATGATGATGATGATCGTGATGAAGTAGGGAGGAGGGGGAGGAGGAGAGGAGAGAACGCGGGGACCGTCTCTTCAAAACGAGGACCCAACACCACAGGATGGTTGGGACAAATAGCTTCGAGTCCCTCCCTTCAGCCAGAGCCCTCCAGCTGGAAAACCCCACAAAAAGAGGGGAGAGGAGGGGGGGTAGCTTTGGACCCCCCCACCCCTTTTTCGGAAAGGTGAGCCCAGGCGTACCCCGGGCCCCGAAAGGGAGGGGAGGGGGTGGGTAGCTTCCAAGCCCCACCCACTTCGCCAGGGACCCCTCAACTACAAAATCCAAACAAAAGGACGGGGGGTAGCTTCTGATACATCCCCCCCTTTGAAAGGGGAGCCTGGGCTGATCTAAGCTTCCGGAAAAGAAGGAGGGGGTAGATTGGACGCCCCCATCCCTTTAGCTAGGGCCCCCCTAGCTCCGAAACGCCCACAGAAGGAAGGGGAGGGGGGGGCTTTGGAAACACCTCCCCCCTTTTCCAAGGGAGGGGGCGGTATATAGCTTGAAGTTGGCGCCCCTTTTTGGCGAGAAGTGTGCCACGAGCCACGAGCGCGCTCTTTCTAACGTGCTCAACACGGGCGGCGACGAGGCGGCGACGGGGACGACATAGCCGACAGACCAAGCTCCAGGCCCCAGCGACGGGCGGCGACGAGGCCTCGACGGCGACGACATAGCCGCAAGACCAAATCTCAGGCCCAATTATGTAGACGAGAAGCGATAGTCCTTGAGTGCTAGCACGGTTTAGGGGACTAGACATGTGTATATTCATGTATAGATATATGTATGTATGCATGCATGTATGTATATCTGTATGTATGTAAGTAAGTAAGTGTGTGTATATGTGTGCAAACATATGTATAATCGTATGTGTATATAAATACATACATATAGATATGTGGGGGAGGGGGTGCGTCTGTAACTGGCGCTGCGCCACCGTCCGACTATCGAACCAACATGGTGTCCTCCGAACACGCGGTCTGAATCACAATTGAATGAACAACCAGGGTACACGTGTCCCGTAACTGGACTACAAGCATGCAATTAATAACAAGCAAACCCTCGATGCACCATCTACTTACGTGTGCACACATGCACACACACCATGCATACTAGCTGTAATCGTATACATAGAATGAATACCGAATCGTATAACTATCATTTAACGGTCAGGGTATCCATACCTCTACAACTATGCACGAACATGTACCATCCAACCATGGGACAACCTTTGAACGACAACGGAATCGTCTCACAATACAGCCGCGGGACAACCACGGGACAGCCGCGGAACAACTGCACGGGACAAGCGCACAGACCAACCGAACGGGACAACCGCAAGACAACCACGGGACAACCGTGGGACAACTTGGGGTGTCCAAACTGGGCGCAGAAGGCGGAAGACTTTCTGACGTGGCATGCCCGCCGCTAGCGAAAGATAGCTTTCGCCCGCGCGCACAACACGGCACGAACCGACACCGGAGACGATTTCCTTACGGGGGCTATGTTTTCCACTCCGGTCTCTCCCCCGCCCTGTGATGTAGGCACGCTGAAACATTTTTGGTATGCGCATGTCGGTACACGCCTAGCGGAGGCAGAGAGAAAGCGAGAGGAAGAGACAACCAAAGACCTCCATGCAATGAGAGAGCATGCTGCGGGTAAGCATGCAGGCAAGGATAGAGGGAGGGAGGGGGGAGGGAGGGAGAGGACATAAAGAGGCAACAAAACAAGCAGAACGAGAGAGAGAGAGAGGGAGAGAGACGGAGGGATATAGATACACATGCATATATATACATATATATACATATATATATGGAGAAAGGGAGAAAGGGACATCGAGCGAGAGAGAGAGAGAGAGAGAGACCGCGAGAGAGAGAGAGAGAGAGCGTACGGATATGCGCGCTCAGGTTCTAGCAGGCCCCAGGCCTTGACGAACTCACTGCTCCACTGAAGTAGTGAACCACAGATGGTTTGAACGGGAAGTGAAGAAGTGTCCATAATGCTAAACGCATTATAGGCGATGAGAAGTCCATGCGTGTCCATGCATGTCAATCCGTACTCTGGAAATCTTTCGGGGAAGATGGTTGCGTAGTGGGGCGGAGGCCTGACGAATCGGGTTCCCACAAGGCCTTCTGGGAACATGGTAGGGCGACTTGGGGAGCCTGTTAAGGCGCGCCGTCGTCGTCGTCGTAATGTCGTCGTCGCCTCTTGGGGCGCGTCGTCGTCGTCGTCCTCGTCTTCGTCGTTTCGTCGTCGTCGTCGGATGGGCCCCTCCCAAGATCCATCCAGCGCTTCTGGACCCCCTCCGGAGGACTTCCTGAACCCCCTGCGTAGGACCGGCTGATGCCGATCACTAAGTCACACACTCGGGCCCCAGCGTACGGAAAAGCCAGAACACATCCGGTACTACCATACGGTTCAAAAGAGCACTTGTGGCAACTTTCTGCGAAACGATCCGCGGAGGGCCGCGAGAAGGCGATCAATCATGTTCCCAGTCAACTTCACAGACAGCTCTCCGGTAGCGCGATGCTACTTCGGAGCCTCCGGGGACTCTCGGCCCATGATTAACCATGTCTCCGGAAAGCTTTCTGGGGACATGATTTGTTGGGGTGTGTTGGGGAGCCTCTTGGGCGTTCCCTGGGGGCCCCCTTGGGAGCCTCTTGGGGCTCCCTGGGGGCCTCTTGCCTCAGGGGGCTTCTTGGGAGTCTCTTGGTGGCCTCCGGGGGCTTACCGGGGGCCTCTCGGGCCAGAGACCTCGAAATATCGGTTCGCGGTCCCCCTCTGGGCCCTCTCTTGAGGCGCTCTTGGGGCACACTTGGGTTGTCTGGGGAGCCTCCTGGGCCGTCTTGGGGCCCTCTCCGGGGCCTCGTGGGCCGTCTTGGAGCGATCTGGAGGGCCTCCGAGGCCGTGAGGGAGCGCTGGAAGCGGGAAAAGCGAGAACGCCAAAATCCAGCAACAACTCTTGGAAAGTTGATGAACTTTGTCTCCCAGGGCCCTCTTGGGGAGCCTCTTGAGTCCGCCCTGGAGCGTGTTAGAGTCCTCGTCGGCCGTCTTGAGGGCATCTTGGGCGTCTTCGGGGCCACTTGGGACCGTCTTGGGCCCTCTTGGGACCCCCTTAGCCTGTCGTGGCTCGTTTCGGGGCGGGCCCGGGCCGTCTCGGGAGCTCTGGGACCCCCCCAGAACCCCCCGGGGAGCGCCGATGGAGGGTACAGGCAGCGGCCCGCACCCCCCACCCTACTCCGATATATATATATATATATATATATATATATATATATATATATATATATATACATATATAGAGAGAGAGAGAGAGAGAGATCATTGAGCGCAGCGTAGACTTGATCGGAAGAGACAACGAGGGACTCATCCAGCACGCAATGGATGCCATGAGAGGACACGGGAGAGCGGAGAAGAAGGGGGATAGCACGCGCAAGAGAGGGAGCTGGGGAACGCATGCAACGAACAAGTATGTAGTACAAGCGAGCGAGCGTTGGACGCACATTTTGAAAGTGTTCTGAACGCACGCTGCGCTGGACGTGAACGCCTAACACAGGATGTTGTGGGATTGGGGACGGAACTGGAATTTGACAGACGACCTCCTCCTCCTCCTCCTCCTCCTCCTCCTCCTCCTCCTCCTCCTCTTCCCTATCTTCATCCTCATCCTCGGCCTCCTCCTTCTCTTCCTCCGACTTACCGCTGCAAAATGCTAGACACTCGGTTACAAACAAGACCGTTATGATGGCGCAGACCGTGCGCGCACCTATAGGGCAACGGGATCGGCCGCGCTGTCGTGTCGACAACCACGGCCGACCTCAGATCAGATCGGAGGCGGCCTGCCGCGGGGAGGACAGAGGACGATGCTGGCAGCTGTGATGACAAGAAAACGGCGATGTTGATAATGGCGATTCGCCTCACATGGCAAAGAAGCACGTGCAATGGCTCCGCGTGTGAGCGTGTGTGTGTGTGTGTGTGTGTGTGTGTGCGTGTGTGCGTGTGTGTCAGGGTCAGGAGTCAACCTGTGTGTGGGCGGGGGAGGGACCTCAGCCATTTTGGCTCAAGCGCGATGTGCTTCCCCTGTCGCATCGTGCGTGGCCGCAGCTGAGGGGCAGGCTCCGGGTCTGCCCGACCGCACGTCGGGGTCCCCGCGCGGCGCGGGCCCCGGTGCACGGATGGCTTCTGCGGGGCGGCAGCGCGGCTGCCCCTCCCGGCAGGGCTGGGCCTGGGCCTGGCGCCTCTGCCCCGTCCAGCTCGCGGACGGGCCGCCTCGCCCAGCCGCCAGGAGCCTGGTGGCCGCCTGGCGCCGTGGGGGCTAAGGAATGCAAAAAAACCCGAAGGAATGCAAAAAAAAACCCGCATTCCTTCGAAGGAATGCAAAAAAAACCCGCCTTTGAAGGTTTTTTTGCATTCCTTGCATTCCTTCGAAGGTTTTTTTGCATTCCTTGCATTCCTTCGCCCGGCCGCGCGAAGAGGGTGAGGCCTCCCGGCTGGCTGCGGCGGAGGCGCGCGGAGCAACGCCGCGAGCAGCAGCCGGGGGCAGCTGCTCGGCGCCCCCCGCGGCGCGGCCGCTCGGAGCTCCCTCTCGCGGAGGACCCGCGGGCGCCGCGGCGGAGAGGCGGCGCCAGCGCGCCCGGAGCCGGGCCCCGGGCCGGGCCACACGGGAAGCGGAGCAGCGGGTGGGCGCCACCCCGCGAGGCGGCCGGAGAGCGGGCGCAGCACGAAACCGGGAGCGACGGGCCACACGAGGAGGCGCAGCCGCAGCCGCGCTGGGCCACGCCTGAGGACGGTGGGCGACGGGCAGAAGCCTGAGCGCCCCCGTATATAGAGCGGGCCTGCAGCCCGCCGGACGCAGGAGGCGCTGACAGCGGGGGCGACGACCTACAGGTGTCGCATGAAGCCCTAGCTGGACTCCTGGACCCCCTCTGGGCGCGGCCCTGAGCGACAGGACGCTTGCAAGAGGCACCCTGCTTTCCCCGTCGCTCGCTGGCTTCGAGCCTTGCGCCGAAGCCCTGCTACACCGACGCGGACGAGGCTGGGGGGGGGGCGGCCCGCGGTGCCGGCCCTTTGGCGGGCGCCACCGGGACGACGCGCCCGCAGAGGGCGCCTGCGCGGCCGGCGGAGGCGAGGCTAGCTGGGCGCCGGTGGCCGAGGCCCGTGCCAGGGCCGGAAGCGCCGGGCTCGGGCTGCGGCAGCGGCCGGCGGCGCAGACGCGGCGCGAGCCCCCGAGGAGGAGCCCCAGGACACGCAGGCGCAGCGGGACTCCATCCGGGAGTTCCCGACCCGCGGCGGGTGGGACGCGGCGCGCGCCCTCGCCCGTCCTTGGTGTATTCCGACGCGCGGCCACTTCGGCGCCGTGCGCCGCGCGCTCGAGGCCGAGCTGGACGCGCTTGGCGACGTCGCCTTCTGGCGGGCCCGGTTGGGCTTGGGAGGCGGCTGGGCGGCTCGCCTGGGCCACGGCCTCGGTACAGCCGCCCTGCCAGGGCCTCGGGCTCCCTTGAGGGCCTGGCGTGCGCGCGGCGCGCGTCCCCCTCCCCTGCTGCCCCCCCCACCGCGCTCTCTGTCGTGTCGTCGCTGCGTGGTCGTCTCTCGTTCTCTTGCCACAGGGCTCATGTCCGCTGGTAAAAAAAGTGTATGCGCGGGGGGGGCAGAAACGTGGCCAGAGGACAACGCAGGTGAGCAAGGGACATATAAGAGGACTGGGGGACGGGATGTGCCAGAGGGGGCTTGTGGAAATGGTGGCATGGAATGGGGGCGCGAATAATCGACGACGGAGACTGGATGAAACATGTTGCCGATGATGCAAGAGAAGGCGAATGGGCGTGCGCACCTGCTGTGTTGGCCCACCCCCCTGGCCACCTGAAAAGTGAAGGCACACGGAAAAGGGTAAGAACAATGAAGAAGAACATGCAAAAGAGACCGCCAATATAACAACGTACTGAAACAATGGTCGGGTAGCTTGCAGTCTTCGCAAAAAAGATCCGCGCATGGACTCTATACACCACTGAACAAGTGAATATCAACAACAATCGACACACCTGTCATGCCGGAGATTTTTTGGGAAACCTCAGGGGTGGGCTACACCACTGAACCAACCAACAAACCATGACTCGAAACGAAGACAAACAGATCCGAAGGATGTAAAGATGGCGTGCGAAATGGATGTTTGCCATGTTCGTCTCGGTACTTTATACACTAGTTCGGTATTCCGAAGCGCGGCGTGGAGCGAAACATCAACTTATGCTGCTGTGATGTTTCCCTTGTCTGCGAACAATGGCTCACAAACTCGTCACAACAGATTTACGCCAACGGCAGCTACAGAAATGTCACGCAATGCACTTGGCAACACAGCCATGATGCCCGTAACCATTCCGAACAATGCAACAGGAGCTTGACCTGAGAACACAGGTGGTGCAGACTGTGCACCTGTACAAGTTTTTAACAAATTTCAGGACTCAATAGATCCGCCGACGATGGCTGCTTGCAACGTCACAGCATGTATGCGGAAGTCGCATGCTGTGTAAAGCCACAAAAGATGAGCTGGCGCATGTGCCTCAGGAGCGTGCGGCTCGAATAAGCTGATGCCCCTCTATCAACGATTGCTCTCTGAATCGCTGAAACAACGGTTCCGCATCAAAACGACAAGCAATACACATTCTCTTCGCAATGTGTTGTCGTTCACACGTGGGGGGTAGCAGAACACTCGCCGGAACTCCTGCCCTATGAAACGATGCTTGTGGCATCGGGCTTCCATGGTAACATCGGCGAAAAGGCTGAGCATGACGTACACGCTGCGGTATGCATGCGCTTACACTAATTCAACAGCTTTCTTCTGACACTAACTCGAGCCCTGACCTTTGATACCTCTTTCAATTTCGTGGCGTCCCTCTGCTTCCTCCAACTGCTACCCCACGGAACCCAGAGCAATTCGCCCGCCGCATCTCCCTCTCTCTATATATGTTTTCAAATAAGAAAGTACACATGAGTATGTACACGCATCTACAGATACAGGTGTATATGGACATGCGTGCGCGTGCATCTGTACATATATATATATATATATATACACATATGCATGTACTACTTGGATGGGTGTGTCAGCGACCGCATTGCTCACATACCTCGTTCGCTAATCATGATAACAACAGCTGCGGAGAGAAGGCGAACGAACAAATTCGAACATGGTGCATGCACAATCGGATTCACGCCACAACACAATAGGCTCAGAACACGCGGGCCGAATCGACGTGCGTGCCACTAGAAAACTCGCAACGGCCGAGGCGCCGATACGACATGGTCTGGGATGGCCATTGTCAGACTGTCGTCATTTCCGCAGACCGGAAGGAGAAGCAATCACAGGGTCGGAACGCATTGGCGTTGGGTACATATAAAAATCAAAAAAGCAAGCGAGCGCGCTGATGCACTCAGAAATTCAGATCAGCAATCGAGGGTAAAGGAAACCACCAACGACATCTTCGTCAACCGCTGTGTTTCGTTTTAGCGGCCAGCAAAATAAGCCAGCCCATATTACCACAACACTCGGTTCTATGCACTGATAATGGTGGGGGAGGTTATGTACGTTTGATGGGGAGGAGGATCCAGCTGCCGTACTGACCCGCGTGGTAGTAGTGCCACTGGAACCCTCACGCCGAACAATCAGCAGACATGCTTTAAAACTTGTTACCCGCTCGTGTAGTTTGACCTCTCTCTCACGGCGTTCCCCTTCGATGTGTTGTTGAGTGTAATAAAATGTCGCTCTTATCTCCCTCCGTTGATGGCCACGTCCCTCAAGGCGCACCTACTATTTTTTGATGATTTTCCCTTCCAGTCCTGCACGTACCGTCCGCTTCATCTGTGTCACACCCTACCAAGTCCAAGCTGTGTCGCAAGAGCGCTAAATGCCACGCACCTAAAGTTCGCCAAACGCAGCGAGAAGGAGCAGGAAGAGGATGAGGAGGAGGAGGAGGAGAACATGCTGGCCCCTGAGAGCAGGAGGAGGATGAGGAGGAGGAGGAGGGAAAATGGGCAGAGGGTGTGGGTTGCATGCGAGATGTTGCATTCAGACAATGTGACAACGATTGTATATCCACTGCCGTTCTGGTTCTTTCGATCTATGGTTCGCATCCGATGGACCCCCGTGCGAAGGGGGCGCCGCCGCTATAGCAGCAGAGGGTGTTCAAGTCGGACGCGCCAGTCCAATCCATCAGAAATACACGAGCTCTCATCTGCTTGTTTTCACTTGCGCGTGTTTGCGTTCAAAGCACACGCGAATATTAATGCTGCTCACGTTCTCACTTCTATAGTCGATTCGGCGCCGAGCGGAGGTACGATAGTGACCATTTCGTGCTGTACCAAGGCGTCGATCGCAAAGTGACTCGTGCGTCCTACATCTGTTCGTATACAAACATAAATGCAGACATACACATAAATACATACACTTAGATATACATATATAAATATATGTATGTACATATATGTGTGTATGTATATCCCTCCGTCCGCTTGTGTTGAAGATCTAATTTGATGAGGTGTCCCCTGCTGGTATATATGCAACGGGTATGAGAAGCCGAAATGCAGCGTGTACTGACTAACCGTATCACGACAGAGTCTACATCCAGTGTGATGCCTCTCGCTTGGTGGACGGAACAGATACCAAGTATTGCATATTTGGGGACATCGTAGGCTGATGTATTCTGCATTCTGATGGATACTTCTCTTTTGAGCTTGTACCAGGCAAAGCCTGATTACCGAAAGATCTGCCAGCTGTACGAAGTGGTTGATAAGTAAGCCCTTGTACATACACAGCGGAGTGCGACAGCCCGCATCATAACCTCACTATGGTTTTGCGTCTGTCTTGAGTTTATAGGAGTTCAGGTTTGAGGCAGTGTATTCGAAGAGGAGTAGGTCATTGCTACTGAGGCAGCTTTCTATATTTGACCCATCCTTGGCTGACACCTTTCTGGACCAGTAGCCGATCAACAACCCAGCGGCTTTTCAACAAATCATGGGCCCCTTTCGGTCCCAAGTGTGAGCATACTTGGGGACACCGGTCGGGGAGAGCACCACGTCCTTGTATTCACTGTTTCGAGGCCGTTGTGGTGAATTATGTTGGCCAAACTGCTAGCCACAGAGCTACAAGTTTGTACGCGGGTGGACCTGTTGCTAAGTGGCAAGAGCACTGCAAGCTTCTACACGCACACTTAGACGGCAATATAGGGAAATCCAATCAGAGAATGCGGTACGCTAAGCTACTGGGGTCCAGCTGCGTGCATACGTTGCCATCATGTTTTGACTTCCACGAGGCTTCTGAGTTGGTTGATCCAGCCCAGGAATGTGGTTCGAGAGCATTTGACGCTGCAGCCTGGGCTGAACTTGTGCGCGCGTTCCCTAGCGCACGTGTTGGGTCCAAGCGAGCTTACCATTCTGCTTGTGCCAGATACGTTGATGACCCGGATCTCACATCCTGCTCTTTATGCCCATGTTGCGTCCAGAAGGTGATGAGATCAGCACATGCTGGGACAGTTGAGCCTGGCATCGAGGACACGCACTACAGCATTTCGATTGACCACGTGTTCAACAAGCTCCTGGACCTCGGCATCCAGGTTGTTTGGTCTTCCATTCGCTTCACGTTGTTCAATCCAAACACCGACGCCCTTCTGCCTGGACACGCTGAGCTGGTGAAGTTTCGCTTTCCGCCGCGGGTTGGCAGGAGTGATCGTATCGAAAACCGATTGCGATGCAACATGTGTGGGCGGAGGGCCAGATGGAAGCAGATACGTCTCGACACCCTTGCCTATACGGTTGCTTTCCTGTTTGACTTGACTGACTTGCAGACTTTGAGATACGAATCTAGGGCAATGTTCAGTGCCTTCTGCGCTCGCTTCGACGACCCGGTAGTCTCCCATTGTCGACGCGTGTTGCAAGCAGTGAGAGGTATATGGCCAAGGAGGTGCACATCGATGCAACTGCGTCTGCCCAGTGGCCTGGCTCGGTTGAGAGATGCAGCTTTGCGCCTATGTGGGATTGAACTGTGATGCGAACCCGGTTGGACTGCAGGCGCCGCAGACTCTCCCGCCCTCCATGGGAGTGGGATGCGTGCGAGATGTTACATTCAGACAGTGTGACGAGGATGGTATCTCCTCCTCCTCCTCCTCCTTCTCCTCCTCCTGGAACTAGGGCAGGCCAGGCGGGGCCCAGGACCGGTGTCCAGGCGGGGCCCAGGACCGTTCTGGTTCGTTCAACCTATGGTTTAGCATCTGATGGACACCCGTGCGGACGCGGCGCCGCTATAGCAGCAGAGAGTATTCAAGTCGGACGCGCCAGCCCAATCCATCAGGAGAAATCCACGAGCTCTCATCTGCTTGTCCACACTCGCACGTGGAGGTCCCCGAGGGGAACCAGCAGGCAAGCGCGGCAGCCCCGGAGCGAAGCTGGCGCGAAGGCGCGCGCTGGGCAGAGCCCGAGCAGTGCGCTGGGCAGCTCGCAGCAGGTGGGCCCCTCTTCCTCCTCGTCGTCCTCCTCCTCTTCCTCCCCGTCCCACTCCTCCTCCTCCTCCTCCTCATCATCATCATCACCACCATCACCATCACCATCACCATCACCATCACCATCACCATCACCATCACCATCACCATCACCATCACCATTACCATCACCATCACCATCATTATCACCATCACCATCGTCACCATCATCAGTATCAGCATCAGCAGCATCATCATCATCACCATCAGCATCATCACCTCACCATAATCATCATCACCACCACCATCATCACGACCATCACCATCATCGTCATCAGCATCGGCATCATCACCATCACCATCACAACCACCATCATCATCACCATCACATCATCATCATAATCCTCCTCATCATCAGTATCATCATCATCACCATCATCGTCAGCTTCTTCTTCATCATTTGCATCATCATCACAATCATCATCAACATCATCATCAGCATCATCACATCAGCATCAGCAACAACATCAACATCACCATCATCATCAACAACAGCAACATCATCAGTATCACCATCATCACCACCATCACCAGCAGCATCAGCAGCAGTATCATCACCAACATCATCAGCATCGCCATCGCCCTCGTCCTCCTCCTCCTCCTCCTCCTCCTCCCGCTCCTCCTCCCTCTGTTCCTCCTCTTCCTCCTCCTCCTCCTCCTCCTCTTCCTCCTCCTTCTCCTCCTCCTCCTCCTCCTCCTCCTCCTCCTCCTCCTCCTCCTCCTCCCCCGCCTCCTCCTCCTCCTCCCCCCCTCCTCCTCCTCCTTCTCCTCCTCCTACTCTTCCTCCCACCCCCTACCCCGCCTCCCTCTCGTCCTCCTCCTCCTCCTCCTCCTCCTCCATTTTCCTCCTCCTCCTCCTGCTCCTCCTCTTCTCGGGTGGGCCGATGCACCGAACAGCAGTGCTCTGGGGGGAGCGGCCAGGAACAGTAATGGGGGGAAGGAGGAGGGGGAGGGAGCGAGAACGGGGAGGGATGGGGGAGGGAAGGAGGGAGAGGGATGAGGGAGAGGGGGGGAGGAGGGGTGGGGAGGAAGGGGAGGACGGGCTTGCAGCGAGGAAAAGGAGGGATGAGGGAGGGAGGGAGGGAGGGTTGGGAGGGGGACAAGGGGGAAAATGGTGGACTTCGCTCGCTTAGTTACCGCCCCCCTCCCCCCCCAACGATGTAGGGTCGACGACTGCCAGGCGTGCCGCCTCTGCTCCCTGCGCCTCTAACCCGTCCCTCTGCATCTTGGCTGCGCGATCCCCCACATCGTCGCGAGCGCCCTTCTCAGCACCGGTAGTCGCAGAGCCTCCGTCGACTCAGGGGTGGCAAACAGGGGAGGCATGTAGCGGGAACGATGGAGCGAGGGAGCAGGCGGTACCCGCCCCCCCCCAAAAAAACCTCGCCGCATGCTAAAACCACGGAGACAATGATATGTACCCTGCGCCACTCTACAACCACGCGCACTCGGGTTGTGTACATTCGATTCACCTCAAATTCGCCGAGTGACACTCTCTCCTCTCACCCACGGGTGATCGCACAGCCAGCAATTCTGAGTCGCCCTGCGAATTCACAGCCGCCACCAGAGGTGCCACATGAAATAACGCGTGAGTGAGAGGGACCAGCGTCAATATCACCTTTCCCCCGCGTGAACTCACAGACGAACCAGCGAGCAACTGAGTCACTGAGGACGAAGGGAGGATTTGGTCCTTTGGCGCTGTTCGCTAGGTGCTAGACTGCCCCATTGGTGCGAATGATCAAAACATGGCTATGATAGCGGTACAATGAAATCGAACGAGGCGTCGAGACAATGCCAAGGAATGTCGCTCTAGTCCATCTGGGCGAAAACAAAAGTTAAGGCTCGTACCACTTGTTTGGGAAAACATGTGAATGGCGTGGAGCCCTGTCCAAACTCGGAAGGAGGGTGGGAGGGGCAGAAGGGGGAGAAGGTGGGAGGACAAACTAAGCGAGCTCGTGCCTCATCTGACATCCTATCCCTCCCTGCCACCCCCTCCCATTGCGCTGATTTATTCTCTATCCGCGGAAGTGTGTCATAGCCAACGTGCGACTCTAACAAAAACACCACACTGTGCAATGCACCATCGGAAAAGGGAAACTGCATACACGGAGGAGGAAATGTCGGGTAAGCAGGAGGATTAGCGGGAGGAAAAGGACGAGGGCGAGCAGCAGCAGCAGGAGCTGGAATGGAAGGAGCGGGAGAAACAGGAGGACGAGCGGAAGGCGGAGGAGGGGACATGGGGAGGGCGACAACGATGACGAAATACTCAGATCCAGAAAAGTGGCCCGCGCTGGGGCGAGAGCGCCATTCAGGACGACGGGAGCAAAGCGCCGATCCGAAAAAGAGGCCCACGCTGCGGCGGGAACACCATTGTGAGGCGCCTCTAACAGTCGCATTGTGCAACAACAAAAGACATGTAAGCGTTTGAACTTCTGCGGATGAAAACAAACAGCGCGCGTAGAGGGCCAGGTATCTTCCAGACGAGGTCGGGGGAGAGAGAGGAGTACCCCTAAACGCTTCGGGGAGGATCTGGGACGCGCGAGCATGCCCCCGCTCGCTCTCGTTCCTCGCCCCATCCCCCGAACAAACAGCTCCCTCCATCCGCGCCCCTGTCCCCTACCCGCCCTCCTTCCCGCAGCCCCGCACCTCCCTTGCCCTCCACCGCCGACGGTGTGAGCGCCGGCAGGGGCGCGAGGAGCACGAGCGAGCACGCCAGCGCCGCGCCTGCCCGCAGCTGCTTCAGGAAGATCTCCTCTGCGCCGGCACCGCAGCAGGGGCGCAGCCACGCGCGCAACATCATGCCGGGTGGCAAGATCGCCACCGCGGCAGCGCCCGTCCTCCTCGTCCGCGGCCTGCCCCTCATCCCCGGCCACCTGGCTCTCCCCGTCCTCGCCCCTGGCCTCCCTGTCCTTCTGCTTCCCCTCCCCCTTCCCTGCTGCTCTTTTCGTTTCGCGTCTGCCTCCCCCTCCCTCTTCTCACCCCTCTCCGCAGCGGCAGGAACGCCGTCCCCTGTCCGCGCCGCCGCCCCGCGCGCGCCAGCGGGCGCGCCGTGGGAAGAGGGCGCGGGGGCCCACCAGACCACCCGGGGACCCCCTTTCCGTTTAAAGGAGGAGGGATGATGGGGATGTCGCCTGTTCGCCCTAGTACCCGAGGTCGCACAGAAGTCGGGAGGGGGGCGAGGTGAGCGGTCGCGCCACTCAAGTGTTCGTGCTGCTGATAGCGACATTGTATATGGTCGGTACCGGTGTGATCGAGGTGCATGTCTGTGACGCTGAGGTCACAGTACGAAGTATCGGCGTACCAGTTCTACCGTGTGTAGCGCAGCAGCATACGAAGGAGTAACAATATGCGTAGGTAAGTATTCGACAAACAATCGTATGCTGGAGTGCCGTAGTCAGCGGTTTCTAGTAGGCCGGCTGGAAATACTGCGCCACCCGATCGTAGAGTTTATCGAAACATGTCGAGGACAGGTCTGGCCACCCCTCGCTGGCCTGCAGGAGCTGCGAGGTCGTATCATCTCTCGCGCGCGGAGTCTTTTTGTCTCAGGTCGTGATATGGGTCGGCTCGAGCCGTCTCTTGGTACATGATGGCGAGCCGTTTCTTGGTGTAGTTGTCGATGGGCTCGACGTTGGTACCCTTGGCGCTCATAGCCACCGGTCCCCTCGAGGCCAGTGTGGCGCCTCTGGCCTTGAAGCACGAAACTTCGGGCTGGCGCCACTTGTCGCAATTCTGTCTGGTAAGGTCATTCGGCTTGTTCATGTGGCCCGGATAGTTCTGCTGATCACTCTCGTAGCTCGGGGTGGTTGCCCTCAGCTCGGGGTCCGCGTAGCTTTTGCTCACGGCCCTCGTAGCTCAGCTTGTTGCCCTCGTAGTTCAGCAGGTGGCCCTCGTATCTGAGCTGTTGGCGATCGAAGCTCTGCTCTTGGCCGTTGTGATTCAGCCCGTCGCCCTGATAGCCCTGCAGGAGGCTCTCGTAGCTCTGCGCGTGGCCTGTGTAACACAGCTTGCCCTCGTAGATCGGCTGGTGCTCTCGTAGCTCGGATGGTGATCCTCGTAGCCCTGCCTGTGGCCATCGTAGCTCAGCGCCTCGTCCAGGCAGGTGGCCCTCGTGGCTCTTCTAGTGGCTCTCCTTGCTCAGCAGGAGGCCGTCGTAGTTCAGCTTGTGGACCCCGAAGCGCTGCTGGAGGCTCTGGTCTGCTGGTGGCTCTCCAAGCTCAGCTGGTGGCTCTTGGAGCGAGCCTGTGGCCGTCGTGGCTCTGCCGGCGGCCCTCGGAGTTCAGCTGGTGGGTCTTGAGGCTCTGCCTCTTGCCGTTGAAGCTCTGCTGGTGGCCCTCGAGACTCAGCAGGTGACCCTCGAAGCTCTGCTTGTTGCCGTCGAAGCTCTGCTGATGGCCCTGGTAACTCAGCTGGCGGCCCTGGAAATTCTGTTGGCGGCTCTCGAAAACAGGCATGGTAGGCGGCAGGGTGATGAAGCCGTGCGCGGTGTAATCGTCGTAAACGTTGTGCTCGGCTTGGCCGTTGTAAGCGTCGTAGTCGCCACGTCGTAGGCGACGTAGCCGTGATCCACTGGTATCTCCACGACAATGTACTTGGTACCCCCCTCGGGCTGCTCGGTCTTGTCGTGCCTGGTGTCGTACTTCGTGTCGTACCTGGCATAGTAATTTGTGTCGTGCGTGGTGCTGTACTTGCTGTCGCACTTGGACGCCATCGCGAGGGCGGCCGTGGCAACGATGATGATGCCATCGGAGGGCGATTGTATTCCATGCCTGACGTTGCGCCCCACTGCTTTGTAGGCAGCGTCTGTTCGCGCCATCGTCTTCTATGTGTGTATGGTCTCGGCATCATTGCAGGACATCTCCACGAGGGTGTAGGTCTCGCAGCCTTGGATTCTGTCGACCTCGAAATATGGCATGTCGATGCTGATGTTGTTCGCATGGATCTTCATATCCTGGTGATGCTCCCGTGGATCGTCGTGTATTTCACGTGGATCGTCGAATCTTTGGTGGCGAACGTGTCACACGGCGCGCCGTCCGCCGCGTGGCGGACGGCGCGCTCAGACCGGCCCCCCTGGATGGCGAGGAGCACCCGGACGTAGGAGCCACGGGGGCCACAATCTCCTTCTCCTCCTCGTCCTCCTCCTCCTCGTCCTCCTCCTCCTCCTCCTCCTCCTTCTCCTCCCCATTCGAGAGCGGGTTCTGCTGCGGCCAGCAAGTGTGCGCGGCCATGATGCTCTGGCGACGTGCAGCAGAGCATCCTGCAGTGAGGGTCTCTGGATGGTGCGAGCTAACTTCCGTGGGCTCCTCGCGCTTCAGTCGCGTGATGCTGCGGCGACGCGCACCAGCGTAACGTTCTTGCAGGCCCACTTACGTGGGACCCTCAAGGACATACTAGTACTATGTGCCCTCCTTGGAGGCGCCTCCGACCCGAACATTTAACAGTGCAGCCATGTTGCCTTGTGCCAATCCCCGAGCGGCGCGGCCAGAATGCGCCCGCCACGGAGCACGACGACGAAAGATTTCTCGGCGCGCGCGCGCGTCGACCCCGTCGAGGCGACGCGCGCGCCTGGCTGTAGCATGCCCAGGTGGCGCCGACGACGGAGCGCAAGCCCTGGGCGGACCTCGAGCGCCCGGCTCCGCGCGCCTGCCCCGCTAGGTGGCAGAGGACGCCTCCCTCTGGGCGATCCTCCTCCTCCTCCTCCTCCTCCTCCTCCTCCTCCTCCTCCTCCTCCCTCGTCCTCCTCCTCCTCCTCCTCCTCCTCCTCCTCCCTCCGCCCTCCTCCCTCCTCCCTCCTCCCTCCTCCCTCCTCCCTCCTCCCTCCTGCCCCGTGCCGTTGCCATGCCCGCCCCTGGGGCCCGAGATCCTTTAGGAGACCGATTTCTGACCACGCCCACTTCCCGAGGCGCCCTGCGAAAGGCGGTGTCCAGAGGTGGAGTAGGGGCAGTTTCCCCGCCCCAGGGGAAGGGAAAACTGCCCACTTCCACCCCCGAGGGCCTATCATAGAATCGAGGATCCAGAGGTGGATGTGTGGTCAGAAATCGGTCTTCGATCCTTTGCGGCCTTCCAGGCTAGAAGTGCCCGTCGGTCGGAAGAAGCGGGCAGAAACATGAAGTCGGAAGGCGTTGTGAGCAGGCTGGGCTTCCGCCCGCCCCCTGAAGAGGAGGGAAGAGGCAAAACCGCTTGGAAGGGGCCCTGGGGCACACAAATAAATAGACATAAATAACAGGAGTCCCTATATTTTCAAATATTTGCGGGGTTTACGTCTTCCCCCCCACTTTCCATATTTTCCCATATTCCGCCTGGGTGTCGACGATTAATTGTGTGTGTATGTGTTTGTTCTCCTCCTGACGCTTGACTCTTGAAGCAGGAAGGCGCCTAAAGCAGATTGGGATCTGGATATGCAAAAAGAACTGCTCTCAACGACCAGCGTGCAGGCTTGAGCACTGCAACGCCAGCGCTCTTTCGCGGCGGGCGGCAGAGGCAGTCTGGCGACCTGCCTGAACGGCTCACCACAGAGCGGCGCGCCCGCTGGGCAGGAGAGCCCAGAATCGAATCGATAAGTCTGGTCGGCGATCGAAGCGAATCGGATCGGCAGACATCGGCAGCCAAGTCGGGAGAAGTCGAATCGGCAGAAATCGGCAGGCTATCAGGCCTCCGTTGAGAAATCGCAGTCCAAATCGGAATCCGAAGTCGAATCGAATCGGAATGGGAAGCCATCGAATTCGAATCGACTCGAATCGGAGGAATCGAAACGAGAGCCCTGGCGACCTGCCTGAAACCTCGCCACAGTGCGGCGCGCCCGCAGGGTCTTCTTTCACACCGGCGCCTGCCCCGGCGACACACCGCGCCGGGCCGCATCGGCTGCCCTCTCTAATGCGGCGAGCGACGACGACGACGACGACGACGACGATGACGACGGCGACGACAAAGACGATGTCCGAGCAGGAGCGGCGGCGAGCCCGGGAGGGAAGTGAGAAGGGGCGGGCCTTCTCAGCAGGCTCGGAAGTGCCCCGGCCTTCTGAGAAGTGTCCCAAGGCCCCCCCCATGAAGGCGGACCAAAAAAACCTCTCCGAGGGCGCGAGGGCCTCCGAGAAGCCCCGCCGCCCTCTGAGAGGGCCTTCTCCTCCTCGGCTCCCCCCCCCTTCGCTCGCTGCCGACCTCTGCCCCTGCCTCGTCCCCTGCTGGCTTGTGCGGCCTCTCCGCCCCGTGGGCGCCCTCGGCGTGCGCGGGCGGCCTGCCGTGTGCGCGGGCCCCCTCTGCGGCTTCGGCCATGCTCGCGCGGCGGCGCGGCGGGCCCGCGTGCACGCGCTCCGGCACGCGCGGCCTGCGTCCAGCCCGCACGCTCCCGCTGTCGCGGCGCCCGCGGAGCTTCTCGCCATGCCTCTCCTCCTCGTGGCCTCCCTCCTCTCCACACTTCTTCCTCTCTTTCTCTCCCTTCCCCCTCCCCCCCTTTGTGACTCAGTCGAATTATATTTGTATACACACACGTATATGTATATGTATATATATATATATATATATATATACATCGATGTCTATCCTGTTCTCCTTCCAGGCCACGTCTCGACGTGGCACTGTCCTTGCTCTGCACTGCGGCCCGCCCTCCCGCCCCACAACAGCGAGCCCCGGAACGTGCGCACTTGCGGCCCAGGCGGAAGAAGGGAGCACGAGGAGGGGGAAGCGGGTGAGAAAGATAAGGAGTGGTACCATAACACGTACGGCAATGGTCCCTGCTGCAGGAAGTATTGGGGCACATGATTTCTCGATCTTTGAGGGTCCCAAGGTGCCTCAAGACTTCTGTGGGCTCCTGGGGCATCTAGGGGGAAAGAAACTTGCGTGGGGCACCTGCTGTCAGGCCAGTCTGCCATCGGACGTGCCTACTGTACAGATGGCAGAACAGCCACCCGCATAACCAGCAGCCCGACAAGCGAAGCCGTTTAGTAAGGTAAGCACACCTGAGGAAGACATCGAACATGGCAGGGCTATTGGTAAACTCCTAGGGTTTCTGGCAAACGCCAGGTGTTGGGGTCGGGGTCACAGTTCCTGCCTTGGCAGTAGGAGAAGGGCAAGGCACTGAAGGACGAGGCCGCGGAGGAGACGCAGGGGGGGGGGAACGAGGAGCAGCAGAGAATGCCGCCCGTCGAAGCGGGACGACCCGAGGGCAGGCCAGACACACGTGGAGCGCAGCGCGTCCTCGGCATCTCCGGGGCCCGGGCCAAAGAAGTCCTCGGCATGCAGCGCGAGGTCCCACCATCCCCACGGACCTCCGACGACACATGTTCTTTTCAGCCGGGCCCCATACCATCAAGAATGTGCCGAACAACTGGCCCCCGGGAAGGGGCCAGGACCTCTGGGGCCGCGCATCGAACAAATCGAATCGTCGGATGTCTGGGTCTCTGAGCGTAGGTGCTTCTTTAGCGGATCAGCTCCTCCAAACCGGCCTCTCCTTCCCTTCTCCCTGCCCTCTCCCCGTGGCCTTGACCCACGCCCTCCGGCACCCCTGCAGGGCGCCCCTGCAAAGCAACCCTGCAAAGCGATCCTGCAAGGCGACCCTGCAGGGACCCCGCAACGACCATGCAGACCCTTAGCAAGATGACCCTGCAGAACGACAGTGGAGAACGCCCGTGCAAAGAGATGCTACAACAACGACCTGCCAGTGGTCCTGCGAGCGCCCCTGCAAGCCGCTCGATCGTGACTCTGCACGCCGGCGTAGACCTCCCAACAACGGCCCCAGGGAGACCGCAGGATAGGCTCCGGAAGGCCTCCGTCAGGATCCTGGGAGGGCCCGACGTTGGCCACTTGGGGGGGGGATGCTTAGGCTTATCCCTTGCACTGACAAGCGGATCCCCCCCAACTTCCGATCTCACGGCATCCCGCCTGGGACTCGCTTCTGGATGGGCTGTTGGGGAGACGAAGCGTATGATGCTTAACTGCCGCCTGTGCTTTGCAAACTCCAAGCTCAACAACCTCACCACACCAGCACAATGCATGCTCAGGTCCATGCGCATGTAGGTACGAATGAGCGTGCTCGTTGGCATTTGTTTCACGCGGAATACCACGGGTGACACAATTCCATCGCGACTCACAAGGTCGCTAGGCAAACCTGGAGCACCTTACAAGCCGATCTGCAGTAGGCGAGCACGCTCATCCGTACTCGCCTTCAGTACGAATGGACGCGTTCAATATGAACGATCCAACTGTTCACCCCGACGACTCCAACTGTCCACCCCTGCCTCCCTCGGGCTGCTCCGCCGAGGAGGAGGCGGCCCCCCGATAACCTCGAGGGCGGGGGCCCTCCTGGAGCTCGCCAAATGACCGAGGGGTGTTCTCGGGCCACTTGATTGAAGTCGGGCCTGTCCCCCTACAGGGGGCGCTTGGGCGGCAAAAAATTAAGAGTACTCAAAAACAAATGCCAAACAGGCCCCAAAATAGTGAAAAAATCGTCCCCCGACTTTTCTATAACAATTTGTGAATATTCCCCCTGTAGAGAGACACGCCCGACTGAACACTTGCTGTTTCCTCATGATCAGACGCTCCATCGACCCTCGCACCAGCATCTCCTGGAAGTGCGCACTCCAGGCGCTGGCGGGGAGGGCAGCACGAAGGCCGAGCCGCATGCATGCCCCGGGGCAGCGCCCCACCAGGCACAGGCCGTGATGGTCTCTGGACGGCCAGCGCCTGCCACTCGAGCTCAAGCGCGGGGGGGTCTCGGGTCATTTGCCGCAGGTCTCCAACTGCATCCAGCCCGCTTGCGCCCAGAAAGAAACAGGACCGCTCGGGCCAAGCCTTACCCGGGAACAGGGTAGAACCAGGCAGAGGGGCCCTGTTGAATCGAGTCGTGGCAACTAGTGACGCGTTCGACATGTCCACGAGACAGCCAGCAGGCCCACAAGAGGCTCCCACAACGCCCCCAGAGGCCCCCAAGGGGCTCCAAGGAGGGCCCCGAGAGGCCCCCCAAAGGTCACCCGCGGGCCCAAAACAGCTTCCAAGAGGCCCCCAAGAAGCTTCTCGTCCACGACCCCGGTACGGTGGCGGGATGGGCCGAAGGTCATTCGTATTCGCCCCTCCCTGCTGCTTGCAAAAGGTGTGGTTGGAGCGCCGAGTGATGACCGTTGGAACCCTTCCACGAGGTCCCCAAGGGGGTCTCGGCCGATCACGTGGGCTTGTGCATCCAGGAGGGGCCCAGCATGACATCAAGACAGCCCCGAGATGCCCAGATGGCCCGAGGTGGCCTCCTAGACTAGGGAGCCCACAAAGGACGTACGCGCCCAGCTATGTACATGACATCAAGACAGCTCCGAGATGCCCGGATGGCCCGAGATGGCCTCCCAGACTGTCCGAGAGGAGTGCAAGACGGCCGAAGAGTCCGCCAAGACGGCCCAAGAGCCCTCCAAGATGCCCTGAAGCAGAATCCGAAGAGGCCAGACGCATTGATGTTCCTGAAGTCTTTGAAAGATCTGAGCGCTCGCGACTCTTAGGGTGTCCGAGAACCCAAGACGGTCCCAAACGCCTCCAACCTGGCACCAAGACAGCCCCAGATGCCCCCCCAGAGGACTCCAAGTCTGCCCTAGAGGACCCCAAGATGGCCAAGGATGGCGTCATATTGCCTCCAGGACGGTCCAATATAGCCTCCAACACGGTGCACGATGTCCTCCAATATCGTTAAGGACGCCACCAAGAAGGCCCAAGACAACCTCAAGACGGCCCAAGAGCCTCCCAAGATGGCCCAAGCAGGCTCCAAGAGGCCCTCCAGGAGGGCCCGAATAAGACACATAAATAAACGTTCCTTGGGTGGTTGGACAGTTTAGCGCTCCTTCAGGGCATCCGACGGCCCAAGACTGGTTTCAACATGGCTCCAAGGCAGCCCAAGAAGCCTCCAAGATGGCACCAAAACAGCCCAAGAGAGTCGTGTGATGGCTCAAGGGGCCCCAAAACGGTCCCAAGCTAGGGAGCCCCAAAACGGACCGAGAGATTCAAGACGGACCAGAGAAGCCCCAAAGATCAAAAAATTGCCTCCAAAGGCGTCAGACGGGTCAAGAGGTCCAGGAGACGACCCAAGAGGCCCCGAGAGTCCTCCTTCTCCTCCGTCTCTGCCTCCTTCTCCTCCTTCTCCTGCTCCTCTGTCTTCTCCCCCCTCCCTGTGTTCCCCCGAGGGTTTCCACAGCAGCTAGGGGAGCACAGTCAAATATGTTGGCCAGACTTTGGCCTAACGTCTGGCCGACTATGCGCTTCCAAGAGGCATGGGGCGGTGGTGGTTCGCCGCATGCGTCTTCAATGTATCAATGACGCCTCCAGGTTTGATTACATTCCACGCAGCACAGGATCATCATGAATATCAATTGGATGCTTTGAGCAGTAAGCTTGGTGCACACCAAGAGACCAACACAAACAAGAAAAAACAATGGGTCTTCCCACAAAGGGTGCTGCGGAACCACCATAATACCATGCCACCGCCGGAGGACAGCAATGTAGGGATCTCCTATCAGGGACCGCCATGAGACCAACTTAGCCATAGTGTAACGGGGTCTGCACCAGGATCCTCCCAATTACGGCAGAAATACTTCGGCAAGGTGCAAGACGAAGAACTCAAGCACACTGCGAGCAAATCCTCTGCATCTCTAGCAGGAACAAGAACATTGTCGTCATCGGAGGACTGGTCTCCCTCGATGACCTGCCACGCCTTTTTCAAGGCGGCATCGTCCTCCCGGAGGGCGGCCCAGCTGGAACGAAAAGAAGGAGGATGAGGATGTGGAAAAGGACGAGGAGGAAAAGCAAGAGGAGGCGAAATGCGGAGAGGGGGGATGGGGGTAATGATAAGCTGGGTGCGCTCGCGTCGTATCTGACGTCCTACCCCGCCTTCCCATCCCTTACCATGGCGTAGATCTCCTCTCTATTCGCACAGTCGGGTGTCGTAGCAGGGCGTAGCATTACATGGCATAGCATGGTGTTGAAGATCAACGAGTAGCCTGACATAGCATGGCGTGGCGACGCCCCAAAGTGGTGGGGGGGGCTTCTGCGGCCCCCAAAAACAACGAATCGACACCGAATGTGTAATCACTTCCAATGGTTGTTTCGGGGGGCCATTTTCTATGTTTTAGGGGCCGATTTGGAAGAACCGAAAGCCATGCCGTGGCATGGCTCTGGATACAATGACGCCAACGCTGCAGCGGGAGCACGTTCGGAACGAGCGGAAGCGCAGAAATGAGGCCAGCGCTGCAGCGGGAGCACGATTCGGAACGAGCGGTAGCGCGGACATGAGGCCAACGCTGTAGCGGGATCACGATTCGGAACGAGCGGTAGCCCGAAAATAAGGCCAGCGTTTCAGCGAGAGCAGCGTTTTGAAAAAAAATCCTTAGCGAAAATCCGTTGATCGGGAATACTGTGTAAACAAACAATACGCGGAAGGGTGGCGAATATTTCCCGGACATCACCAAGGGAGAAAGGAGAGTAGCATTCATACTGTGTCATTGTGAAGTAGGGCGCTTACAGAAGAGGAACAGTGGTGAGTACCCAATCAATCAGCACTGGCAGGAATAATTGCCGGTTGCCAGCATCGCTGGCAGAGCCATCAGTCTTCTACATGGCTGCGAGCCACCAGAGCGATCTCCATCTCTCTATAGAGACATATATGTACATATATATATATATACACAGATTTACATAAGAGGGACACGCGTGCCCAGGCTCATACAAAAAATGCAGCACGCAAGCATCACAGGAAATTGGCAAGAAGAGGAACATGAACTAGGATCCGAAGAGAAGGAGAACAAATATGGAGAAACAGAGGAGCACAGAGACGAGGATGAGAGTGAGGATCACCAGGGGGCTGTTGGAAAGGAGGAGCAACAGTGGGATCGCAGTGGAACGCAGGCGGGGTTGCCACACCTTGCGATGCACGGATGCCGCCTCTTGCAATCACGGCAGGCCCCATCCAGCCCTTGGGGGCTCACCCGAGACAACCTTCGTGGGACGGCGGCCGCAAAAGCTTACCCCTCAAGACTGTGTCTTGCCCTCGCTGCTACGTTGCTTGAAGAAGCCCGCGTATGCTGGCCAACTATATGTATGAGAGAACGCCCACGCAACGCCGGAGCAAGGGGGAGCCCTCAGCTACCCCTGCCCCCCTCGGACCTCTCCTGCCCGAAGCCCCCCCCCTCCCCTTTTTTTCCGCTCCTCGGATGCTCCCCCCCCCCCCTTCTTCGCGCTCCGGAAGCTACCCCCTTCACCTTCCCCCCCTGTCCAAAGAAGGGGGGAGGGGCTTAACTACCCTCCCCCCTTTGGACCCCCCCCTGCCAAATACCCCCCACCCCCTTTATTCCGCCCTGCTCAAGCTACCAGCCCCCTCCCCTCTTTCGCGCTCCGGAAGCTACCACCCTCCCTTTCCGAGAGGAGAGGGAGGCTTAGCTCCCCCCCCCCCTTCCCTTTGTACCCCCCCTAATCAGAAGCCCCCCCCTTGGCTAAATGAAGGGGCGCCGAAAACCAAAAGAAAGCCGAAAACCAACATAGCACCGAAATCCGAAGGGTCACCGAACACCGAAAGGGCGCCGAAAACCAACGGGCTGCAGAAAACCAAACAAGCGCCAAAAACCAACAGGGTGCCGAAAAACCGAAATGTCGCCCAAAAACAAAAAGGGTGCCGAAAACCAAGGGAGAGCCAAAAACGAAAGGAGCGCCGAAACCCAAAGGAGCGCCGAAAACAAAAAGGGCGCCGAAGACCACAAGGGCGCCGAAAACCAAAAGGGCGCCAAACGTGCGCAGACAATTTCAGGGGCGCAGAACAACAAAAGAGAGCCGAAACCCAAAAGTGCGCAAACAACAAAAAAGTAGCGCCGAAAACCAACGGGGCGCAGATAACCAAACATGCGCCGAAAACCAAACGAGCGCCGTAAACCAGAGCGACGCCGAAAACCGAAAGGGCGCAGAAAACCTAAAGGGGTGCCGAAAACCAAAGGGGCGCCGACAACCAAAGGGCACCGAAACCCAAAAGGTCGCCGAACACCAAGAGGTCGCCGAAAACCCAGAAAGGGCGCCGAAAGCCATGAGGGCGCCGAAAACCAAAGGGGCGCCGAGAACCAAAAGAGCACCAAAAACCAAACGAGTGCAAAACAAATTAATGGGCGCAGAGCAACGAAAAGGTGCCCCAAACCAATGGGGCGCCGAAAACCAAACGGGGCGCTGGAAACCAAAAGGTCGCCGAATATCAAAAGGGCGCCGGAAACAAAGTGGCACCGAAAACCAAAGAAGCGTCGACAACCAAAAGGGCGCCGAACACCAAGAGGTCTCCGAAAAACCACGGGGGGCCGAAAACCAAAGCGGCGCCGAAAACCAAAAGGGGTGCCGAAAAACCAAGAGGGCGAGCCGACAACCAAAGAACACCGACAACCAAAAAGGTGCCGAAAACCTCAGGGGCGCCGGAAGTCAAAAGAGCGCCGTAAACCAGAGCGGCGCCGAAACCAAAGGGGCGCAGAAAACCTAAAGGGGTGCCGAAAACCAAAGGGGCGCCGAAAGGGGCGCCGAATACCACAAGGTCGCCGAACACCAAAGGGGCGCCGAAAACCAAGAGGGCGTCGAAAATCAAAGGAGAACCGAAAACCGAAGGAGTGCCGAAAACCAAACAAATGCTGAAACCCGACGGGGGGCCGAAAGTCAAAAGGGCGCCGAGAACCAAAGGGGAACCGAACACAAAAAAGGCGTCACTCAACATTTTTGATTCGCGGGTCGAGAGCGCACCTCTTCCGGTCGAAGCTAAGCGGGCCGCGCGAAGCTTGAATTAACCAGAGATGGGGGAGGAAAAGGGGGGCCCAGCCTCAGAACGAGGCCGAGAGGCAAAACCTCGGAATCAGGCGGTGCCGTAGCCGACGTACTTGCAAAGGAGCGCCTTGTCCATGAACTTGGTGGCGGAGTACCGGAGGCGTCACACAACAAAGGGGCGCAGAATAACAAAAGGAGCTCCGAAAATCCAGTGGAGCGCCGAAAACCAAAAAGGCGACTCAAACATAAAGGGCGCCGAAAACCGAAAAAGCGCCGAAAACTAAAGGAGCGCCGGAAGCCAAATGTGCACCGGAAATCAAAGGGGCGCCGAAAACCAACGATGCGCCGAAAACCAGAAGAACTACGAAAAAGCAAGTAGTCGAGTACCGCTGTGCCCGACTCGACACTGACAGTACCTACACCTGCTTGAAAGAAGGCAAATCTTTTCCGCATCCTATTTTCCTGGCCGTTTTATTCTCGTGTGTACACCCACAATAAAGGTAGCATTCCAGGTTTCTGTTCGGCCCTTGGCCGAAACGCCCTCGTGGCACGGCTGCAACTTGCTCCCTCGACCTGGTGCTGCCTCTGTTCCTACTTCCCCGCCCCGCTTCTCTCGTTCCCGAGTCCGTGTAGGCATCGACACCGTTTCGCCAGAGGACCGACCGACCGACCGAGAAGCGGAAGAAGGAGGGGGGGGAGGAGCAGGAAGAAGGAGGAGGAGGAGGCGGAGGGGGAGCATCTTCGAGGTGGTTCTTGCTTCTCCTCCACCCCCTCCTCCACCTCCTCCTCCTCCTCCTACTCCTCCTCCTTTTGCTCCTGGCATCAGGCAGAGCCAAAGAGGGGAGGCAGACCTCCTTGGACCCCCCAAAGCGCCCCAGGACTCCTCAAAGGCGCCCAGAAACGCCCCCCAAACCTCCTCGAACTTCGACCCTCCCTCCTCCCCGACCCCCGATTTCCAGGAGGCAGTGCCGTCCATAATGGTGACACCCCTTGCACTGCCCGAAGGCCCCCGCCCCCAGGGATCGATCTAAACAGTGTTTTTCGTTTTCATTTGGTTTTCGTGTTCCCTCGTTTTGTCTTCAATCCGCCTTTGCTGATAAAAACGATCTCGAGACGAAAACGGCCCACGAAATCGCCCAAACACTTTTGTAGGTCGACCCCTGCCTCCCCCCACCCTCTGCAGGGGGGCCGGCCTCGCCGAGGTCGTCCTCCGCGCCCGGCGAGGAGCGCCCGTACACGTCTGCCAGGATCTCCTCCCGCTCCTGCGGGAGGCGGGCCCCCCCCCCCCCGCTTCAAGCCCTCCTGCCGCTCCTGCCCCCGCACGGCGGCGGCGAACTCGCTCCTGGGGTGATTGGCCGCGCGGGAGCGGTCCACCCTGGGGATGCCTGGTGCCTCGTCGCCTCGTCCTCCCTCCTCGTCGTCCTCCTCCTCCTCCTCCTCCTCCTCCTCCTCCCTCCTCCTCCTCCTCCTCCTCCTCCTCCTCCTCCTCCTCCTCCACCACCGCCTCCTCCTCCTCCTCCTCCTCCTCCTCCTCCTCCTCCTCCTCCTCCTCCTCCTCCTCCTCCTGCCCGCGGGGCGAAAGCACAGGATCCTGGTGCCTCGTCGCCTCGTCACTTCCACGAGTCCCTGCACCGATCAGGTGCCCACTCGTCGCCACGCCCCTGGGCCAGCCTCTTCACGAGTCTTGGCACCGAGCAGGTGCCCCTTGCCCTGCTCGGGGGGCGGCGGGGTCCTGCCCGCGGGCGCGTCCCTCCTGGGCTCAGCTGCCCCGACACGCATCACGCAACACGTATCGTATTGATACGGAGCTCAACACGTAGGCTGAAAACGTAGGTCCGACGCGAAACATTCGCCAAAACGTGGCCCAATACGTGGAGCCAACACGCAGTGTGTTGGCACGGACGTCTTGAACACGGGACGTGTTGCGTTTCAAAACGGGCGTACCGAGGCAACTAAGCTCCTGGGGCGTCTCCTGCCCCCAGCGCCGCTCTCCTCCGCCCCCCCCCTCTGGCCGCCATGGCGGCGGCCTGCGCCTCGCAGGGCCCGGCGTGTGCCGCCTGTCATCGCGCTGCTCTCTGGCCGGCAAAGCCTGGACCCTGGTTCGCGCCCTGCCTGCCTTCGCTTTGCTGCTCTCGCTCCCGCCTTGGACACCGCTCCGGCCTCACGGCAGCCCCTCCGCTGGAGGCCCCCAGCAAAGCCTGGCACCATGATAATCTCAATTTGTCTTGCCGATTACTCATCGTCTTCGCGTGAAGTCCCGACGCTGCTTCACGGCGGCGCCAAGGCCTCATGATTTCGCTCTTGCATTGCCCATTATCTGAGAGAGGGGGCCGGCGGCAGGGGGCGAAGCCCTTGCGGATAATCCAAAAAATCGTCCCCTGACTGGTTCTTCCCACTATTTTCGAATACTCCTCCTGCAGAGGGACGTGCCCGACTTAACCCTGGTACTGCACCGGTTCTCGGCGCCTAAGGCCGCTTGCGTGCTCCCCGCCCTGCCGACTCTCGGCGGATCGGGCCTGCTTCCCCTCCTCTGCCTCCCGCGCAGCCCGCGGGCTCTGCAAACGCGCCTGCGGCCACCGGCGCTGCCGGCCAAACAAGAATATGTTGCGGCTGCTCATTCGCAGTCAGCACGTCCCGGTGCCTCAGATTGACAAGCGCGTTCCGTTACTCGCAGAGGAGCTGCTCGCGAAGGGCCCGGATCCGCCGCGGGGGATTTACGATATGTTACACAAACTCTGACGTATGGTTTTTCGGGCGTTTGCGAGCAGGCACTTTGCGAGTAGTGGAACGCGCTCGGCGATCAGAGGCAGGGGTCCAGAAAGTCTGGCCAGCGGGGATGCCAACTGCCACCCCACCCCCCCACCAAGACCTGAGCAGATCCGCCTGCTGATGGAGCACCCCTGCGAAACCAGCGGGGCTCCACCTCACGGGGAGAGTGCCGCGTTTGCATGCACCCCCACTGCGGGAGCAAGCCACGAGACCCTCCCCAATCGGAACTTATAAATGACGAGGTTCCGCACAATACCGACGCGGCGTGCACACGAGAGCATGTCGACCCCAGCCCAACCTCCCACCTCGGCGCTGCTCTCAACCTCTCTCGCTGATCGAGCATGTATCAAGGGATGCGGACAGATACTAAGCAGGTCCTCTTCGTCTTTTTTTCTACCCTTGCCGGGCACATGTAACACATGCTTCAATCACCATGTAGTGCATCGTGAACTACGCGCTGCCAAATGGCATGAACATGCACGATAAGATGGATAAGCCATGTGGCATTCCGCTATCTCCTGAGACGGAGGTGCTGAACGGTGGCGAAAAATGAGACCTTCACGATAATCAAATTTGCGGACCTGCGCGTCTTGCCCTGGGTCTGCCTTGGGCTACGCTCAATTCTCTCGTAACTGGCAGCGTGTGGTAGCACGCCTGTAAAGCTTTCAGTTCGAAGGGGCTAACGCCTCAATGCCAAGATCAAGCGTCGTGCAGCAAGCCAAGCCCATCAATGTGGCCTACACAAGCTTCTGCGCTGTCGCAGAAACACGAACCACACTCTCCCTTTCGTAACGGCGACCGTCAGCATGCATTCGAGGGTACCATACCCGAAACAACATGCCGTCTGCAATGCACCGAATGACAAGTACCCCCCAAGCATCACTGGCGGAAAACAAGGCTAGCAGCCAATCTCATCGCGGATATGACGATGCATTGACAAGCCAGAACGCGACATGGCATACGCGGCGCAGCTCGCAACAGCTAAATGCTCCAGATGGCCTTGCTTCGCAGCGTGAATTATTCCAACTCGTTATCCGTTCGCTATATTGCAATACAGTGCGGTGGGGACCGCGACTCCATTCAACGAGAAAGAAGTACATTGCAAGCATAAGAGCATGAAGCACGCGTGGCGATTTGGTCGAATGCCATTCCCTCATCAACGCATGTCTTCACTCATCCAGAAAGCACGCGCTCGCCTGTTCTAACGACTTTTCCGCGCTCGCATAGACGCCTTGTCGCTTTCTAGTCAGCACCTTGCCGTTACCGGCGCGGGGCGGCATCGCGACGCAAGCTGAACTGTCTGTGTCGCGGTGGGGGGATCCAACACAAGATCCGATCGCTTGTCTTGTGTTCCGAAATCAGCACGGGCTGACGCCACATGTATATGCCTGAACGCCTCGATGCATTTCAGATGCGTTGGTCTGTTGGGCAGCGCACGTACCCGAGCGGATGAACTGCACGATTGCAAGTATCAACGTGTGAGCGCCACTACCCCAATCAACACACCACGGAACCACTCCGACTATTCAACTCGAACCTTGAATATCCAAATCGGAAACTCGCGGGCTGGTATGCCCAACAGCATTGGCCATGAACATACGCTCACCCGCCCCATCCTCCCCGCGCGCCTTGATGCAGCACGCGCAAACGGCCTGGCGCGGCTACCAAACAAGACTCCGACAGCCATAACGGCGCGCGCCCTTGAACAATACACACATGATACAACCAAGCGACGAAAATCGGACACACGTGTAAGCGCCGAAGACAATGAACTGGCGCGATGGTTTACACAAGCTGCTCACTCAACACACCGCGCAGAGAAGAGAGCCCGTCAGTGCGGCCTTGCGCGGGTATGTTCGCACATTAGCCTCCATGTACTTTCTTCGGCCATGTGGCGCTGCAGAGCTCAGGATGCAGATACAAGCAGGCAGCTGCCCCATTTCTCTGAGCAGCGGGGTGGATCAAAGGCGGGACCATGCGCAAAGAAGACATCACATCTTGGCTCCGATCACATTGCTGGGGCTAGACGACCACACTCACCATGGTGCGACGAAAACACATCGAACAACCTGCCTGGAACGCACTTCTACGTTTCATTCAACCCGATTCTGCCTCCTCTTCCCACTCCCATGACGCATCCGGCTCCGCTGCTTTCCAATTGCTATGTTGGCTGTAACCAAAACGAAGTGTCACAAGTGGGGCCACCACTAAGATGAAGCCGCAGGCGACCGCAATCCCGACCTCCAAACCATCTCATCAAATCCAGCCGTGAAGAGTTAGGCGTGGCGATTGCACGGGTAGGACATACGCAAAGGACCGTGCATTGCTACAGGGTGCAAGGTCGCATCGGCATCAATGAACATGTTCATGTATATGTACATCGCCATATATACAACACCTATAGACACATTATATGCAGACATACACACATATTTATATGTACATGTGCAACGTAGCAGTGTTTCTACGTGATCTTACGAACATATTCAGTTCAAGGCCAGCCGCACACACGGTGGAAGTGCAGCGTTTGCGTATCTGCGCGCGCACAGTTCTCAATGACAAACGACCCCATGCCCAACTGTCCTGCCCATCTGGGGCAACTAACCTACATGCGACACTCCGCTGCAATAAAGCACCGCTTTGTGGAGTGAGCCAAGACGCTGTGTAGACATCTTCCCTGGCCCCAGCCAGCCAATATTAGATGTCATAGTCGAGTAGATTCACATGCGTACTTAAAAACGTATGTACATACATACAACGGTACATGCATCCATACATACATGCATACATACATACATACATACGTACATACACACATACATACACACATACATACATACACACACACACATACATACCTACACACATGCATGCATACATCCATCCATCCATACATACATACATCCATACACACATACATACACACATACATACATACATACAGACAGACAGACAGACAGACAGACTGGCATACATACATACATGCACATACGTACACACATACATACATACATGCATGCATGCACACATACACACATACATACACATACTCGCAGGCATGCATACATGCATACATGTATACATGCATATATACATACACACATGCATACATGCATACATGCATACATGCATACATGCATACATATACATACATACATACATACATACATACATACATACATACATACATACATACATACATACACACATACATACATACATACACACATACATGCATACATGCATACATGCATACATGCATGCATACATAGATACATGCATACATCTAGACATACATACAAACATGCATGCATGTATGCATATATACATTCATACATACACATGCATACATACGTACATACATACAAACATACATACACACATGCATCTAGGTATGCACATCTACTCTCGCCCACTGGTAGTATACCTTTCGTCTGTGCGCAATGCGTTTTCCCGCATCGCCCCATCCTGATCATCTTCCTTCCGTGTCTTACCCTATCTCCTGTCATTGATGTTTGCCTCCTCTTCATCATGATCATCCTCCTATCCCTTCTGATCTCATTCTTGCCTGCGCCACCTCGCTCACGTTCCCGACTCGCGTTTGCCATTCTCGTTCGGCTCCGTTGTCGAGGTTTCCATCTTCCTTATCCTGTCTCCTGTTCGGTTTGTTCCTCGTCGTCTTCGCTTCCTCCTCTTACTCTTTCTCGGTTGCCTCTCCTTCTTGCTCTGCTATCTCTGCTCGTCCTCAGCCTCGGTGCTGCCAAGGAAACGCCCACCAACGCCCGACTCCCTGGCCCGCGATGGGCTCTCCCAAGAAGGGCACGCTCGCTTGCCAGCGCAAGCTGGAGGCGAACAGGGAGCGCGCAGCCACAAAACGCGCGTGGCAACTCGTTTGAAGCAGCCGCGCACCCGCCGCCTACTTGCGGCGGGCGCACGCGCTGCTTCTCGGCACCTGCGAGCGGCTGCGGAGGCGCACCGCAAATAGGCGGACAATTTTTCTGGACATTGCGGGGCTATCCACCCCTGCTGCTTTCGCGGGGTGCCGCGCGGTGCCGCCGTACTGCGAATACCTCAAATAATTTTGGGGGGCCCTGTAGTCCGGGGGGGGCCCTAGTAGTCCGGGGGGGGCCCTGCAGTCCGGGAGGGGGGGCCCTTGTCGTCGGGGAGGGGTCCCTTGTAGTCCAGGGGGGGGCCCTTGTAGTACAGGGGGGGGGCCCTGTAGTCCAGGGGGGGTGGTCCTTAGAGCGGGGCGCGTGCCCCGACGTCTGGGGTTGGGCTTGGCGCGTGGGGAGGGGGGCGCGCTCTCGCTTCGCAAGGAAGCAGAAACTGCGCGCCTGGAAGCGCCCGCGGGGCGCGGAGTGGCGACCGGCGCCCGCGCGGCAGCAGGTTGGTCTGCGTGCGATAAGCGTAGCTCCGCTGGACCCCTCGGGGGCGCGACTGGTTCGCAGCAGTCGCGCGCCTGGCATCGCTTGCCCAGAGGGGGGCGGGCGAAGGAATCGCATTGGCGCGCCTGGGGCGCCGCTCCGCTGGTCACCCAGGGGCGTGGCAATGAGGCGACAGTCGCACGCTTGGCAACGCCATGGAAGGGCAAGGGAGAACGGGGAGCGAGGAGCCAGGAAGGGCCGGGGAGGGGGAACCGAGGGAGAAGCGAATGGGATGCGGGCGGACAAGAGGACGGAACGACGATGTTCTCGGTTGCGGGAAGCGGGAAGCTGGACCGCAACTTGCCCCCGCCTTGCGCCTGCTTTGACAGGGTGCCTGGAGTGCATGGTGGCCCTGTAGTCCGGGGTGGGGTCCTTGTATTCTGGGGGGGGGGGCCTGTAGCCCGAGGGGGGGCCCTCGTAGTCCGGGGGGGGGACCCTTGCAGTCCGGGAGGGGGGACTCTTGTAGTCTGGGGGGGTGGGCGCCCTTGTAGTCTGGGGGGGAGGCCCTTGTAGTCCGGGGGAGGGGCCCTTGTAGTCCAGGGGGCCCTTATAGTCCGGCGGCCCAAAACTATCAAGGCACTCAGAGTAATGCAAACAATGATATTTTGCCGGTTTAGAAACCATAAGCTGCCCTCTTCAGCGCCTGTTTGCGCTATCCCCTCATCCTCCCCCCCCTCCTCCTCCCCCCTCTTCTCCTTCCTCTTCGATCCCCCCATGCAGCATATGCCGTGTTCTCTCATTTGATCCTCCCCCCCCGCCTCCTCCAGGATCAAGGACAAGCGGTACCACCACCCCCAGCGCAAGGCGCCAGGGAGGGCCCTCTTGGTGCTGTGGTCTCCCCCCCTCGCTCGAGACATCTCCCATCCCCAGCTCGAGGAGGCATCATTGAGCCCCTCGCCCAAGGCGGTCCCCCTGGTGGTGGAGGCGTCGCCCCTCCAATCATCTTTGGACGCCCGAACTGGGTACGGAAAACATGGGCACAATGCCCGACAGCCGTCCTCTCCCGCGAGCCCGCCCCGCTGCCCACCACGACTCTTCTGTCCAGGGCGCGGATGGCCTCGTACAGACCTCGCGGCACGCAGGGAGGCCGACCGAAGGCCGCGCCTCGCTCCGGCGGGCTGCCGTGGCGGTCTGGAGGCATCCTCGACAGTGGCCCCGCTGCGGCAGCCCTGGGGCTTTCTTGCCGGGGTGCGGCCACGACGGCGCGACGGTGCGGCGACGGGCCTCGCGGGGCGAGGTCGAAGCCCGCGGGCACCGCCGCCGGAGCAGCGTGCGCCTGGGGCCGCCGCCCGCCGCCGCCGCTCCGGAAGCCCTGGGGCCACAGAGGTCTGAAGGGGAACGCTCGGGGGGGCCGGCCCGAAGTGGGGGGGGGAACGTCGAGCTGGAATCGGCAATACAGCGCCGATGGATCGGCGATAGGCCACGGCGGAAAACCCGCACGTTCCTGGACGGGCTGGGCCCTCGGGCCCTCGGCGATCAGTGGGAGACTGGGGATCGATGCATGCCCCCCTAGGCCTATCCCGCCCCTAGCGCTACCCTGTGGTTTTCGGGTCATCGCTCTGCTCTCTGGCGGCTGTGCTTCACGATCTGGGCACCTCCGGAACGCTCTTGGCGAGGCGCAGCTGCTGGAGTGCACCCCAAGGCTGGCAAGCCGCCGAAAAGCCACAACAACAACAACAACAACAACAACAACAACAACAACAACAACAACAACAACAGCAACAGCATCAGCAACAACAACAACAGCAGCAGCAGCAGCAACAACAACACCACCAACAATAGCAACAACAACAACAACAACAACAGCAGCAACAGCAACAGCAACAGCAACATCAACAGCAACAGCAACAGCAACAACAACAACTCGAATCTCGATCCCGAGAAAGACGCCCACCCCTGCCAGGTGAGCAACGTCGCAATCGAGTCGAAAGAAGTCCCTCCCTTTGATCCCTTTGATCCCTTTTTCGCCGGGGGGCGGGGGGTCCTGTCGGGGGCGCGCAAACATGGATTAGCGATACATGGATTTGGCGCGCGATCGCCAAATCCATGGATCGGGGGAGGTGCCCTCTCCAAAATGCGGCTGGTGCCGCCTCGCTCGGCGGCGGAAATCTGCGATTTCCCATGGAAGCGGGACCCGTCGCTAATCCACGCCCCCTTAGCCTATGCCAGCGATCGCCTGATCCTGGGGGGGCGACGGGGGGAACTCGAGCCCCCCGTGCCCTCTCTCGCTCCCCAGTCCCATGCACTCTTATCTGCTGTTGCGGGGTGCTGCGTATTTTCCAACATGCCTCCGAGAAGCCTCAGATCCGCTCCGAGGCGGTTTCAAGTGACCACGGAGCTTCCCAAGATGTCCTCCAAGCGACCCCCCCAGCAGAGCCCACCTGAGAGAGCCCTAAGAAGGGCTCCAGGAGCGTCAGAATCGTCGCCGCCGCCGCCGCCGTCGTCGTCGTCGTCGTCCCCCTTCAGGGTCGGCAGCACTGGCCGTAAGGCCTTCCCAATAAAAATAACATTACACCACAGAAAACCCCAATCAGTGGATGATATGAAAATTCATACGATGGATCTTGAGATCGATTGTGAGATCGATGATGAGATCCATAGTGGAACCGATAGTGAGGACGATTGTAAGGTCGATCGTGAGACCGACAGTGAAATCGACTCAATGAGATCGATAGTGAGCTCATGCGATCTCTAGTGAGACCGCTTGTGAGATCGATAATGAGATCGATTGTGAGATCGATGGTGAGATCGATAGAGAAATGGGTAATGGGATCGATGGTGAGACCGATCGATAGAAAGATCCCCCAAAAACCCGGGAACCCGGGAACCTCGCCGCCATCCGAAATCGGCCCGGAACCCGGAACCGGGAACCCGGAAGCTGGAACCCGGGAACCTGGAAATCGGAACCCAAGAACCCGGAACCGGGAACCCGGGAACCCAGCGTGCGACCAAAATCGGCGGGGAACTTTCGCCAAATCCTTCCACTTCCGCGAGGACCCCTTCAGTCCAAGCACTGATGCTGGGGAAATCCGAATCTAGATTCTGAGAAAGTCGCCCACCCCTGCCAAGTGAGCTCCGCGGATCCACTCGCCTTCAGCCCATCCCGCCCCGATCGTGTCCCCTCATCTTCTTCCGCCGCCTTCCGCAGGCGGGCCCGGCCGCAGGCTTCACTCCTGCGGAGAGCGAGAGAGACGCGCCGACGGCGAGGGATTCTCTGGAGCGCCGGGGCGGAGCCCTGGGATCGACTGGAAGCCCTCGGTCTGGATCTGGGGCTGCGGCTCGCAGGCCAGAGAAGCTGCGGCAACCTTGCTGAGCGTGTGGAGGTACACACTCAGGATCTGGTGGCTCGTGTGTCCTATGTGCCTATCTTTCTTCAGTCGCCTGTTCGGTCGTTCCGCAGGGCGCTCTCCCCTCGGCGCTTGCCACTGAACCCTCACCCCGCGAGGAGACTGTGAGGCAGGCCTGGTGACCGTTGTGTTTGTTCTTTCCCAGGTAACGGTCGTTACCCTGGGGGGGGGAGTCGGGCGGGAGGGTAAGGGTAACAGCCGCCACGGCGTGCACCCGCGTCCGCGCCACCGGCGCTTCAATCGCCACCCTCCCCAGCACGCTCGTCAGCGTTCACCGGAGGGGGGGGGGGCGGCCCGGATAACGAGCGTGACCCCGGGGAGGAGCAAAAAAACGCTCACCTGCTCCGCGGAGGACACGATGGTCAGGCTTCGCGAGCTGCGTGCAGACCCCCCCCAGGTAATCCCGGATGGCCTCCACAGGCCCCCCAGCGTAGCCCCCGCGGGCTGTCCCACCGAGCAGCCCAGCGCGGTCTCAACACCTGGCTGTATTGAGGCGTGCCGATGGCATCGCGAGGACAAGGAGCAGGACGAGCAGGACGAGAAGGACGAGAAGGACGAGGACGAAGAGGAGGAGGAGGACGAGGAGGAGGCCCTGTCAGGCCACCTGGGACCCTCCTCCCAGTCGAGGAGCTTGGCGGGCAGACTTGCGGCCGAATGCAGGCCCGCCAGCACCATCGGCCCAGGGGAGCCCACAGAGCTGAGTGCAGATGTGCTACCGCTGGTTCACGAGCAAGACAGAGCATCGCTTAACCGACCCCTATCCCCAATGGCGTGGCCTGGGCCCCACTGGCAAATTTACCCCCCTAGATGGGGATATAGACCGTTTCCTTGGGTTTGAAAGTAGATGCCCCACTGGGGTGCCGTGATAGTGGTGGTCTGGATGAGGACGGGGATGGGGAGAGGGGTCGGTTATAACCGATACCGAAAGACGACGCCGGGATGAGGACAACTCAGATGCACCCTGCAATGACGTGTTTACCAAGCAGGGGCTGCAGCTTTTTAAAATGTGAATTGCCCTGGCCACGGGGTCTTCGCCTAACCACGCCTTGGCCTTTGAGACTCGTGCCTCATGAGGAGATGGAGTGATGCCACAAGGTGGGTTAACGTTTTGAGCAGCTGATCCCTTCATCATTCCAGAGCGATCAGGAGCACTCTGAGAGCGTGCTGTGACGCCCTTGGGCGATGTATCCTTATCGTGTGCCTGTCTGAACAAGACCTCCCCCCTTCTCCAGAGTCTCATTCCGCTAGTTCTCCTCTGCCTCCTTCTGCTGCCGGATCTCGAAGGGACCTGCGAGGAGGTTTTCGTTCTCCGGCGCGGAAGCCTTGGAAGCCATCGGCGAGGGCTTGGAAGTCGCTCCTGGCGTCCCGCACCGACGAAGAGCAAGCGGCGCCAGCGAGACAGAGTACGAGCGAGGAGGAGGAGGAGGAGGAGGAGGAGGAGGAGGAGGAGGAGGAGGAGAAGGAGGAGGAGAAGGCCGAGGAGGAGGACGACAAGGAGGCGTGGAAGGAGGACAAGGCACTGGCGACAAGCAATCGGCGTCAGTGAGACAGGAGCAGAGGAAGGAGGAGGAGGACGAGGAGGCGGAGGGGGACGCCGAGGAGGCACGGGAGGAGGACGAGAAGAGCAATCCGCCGACCCCGCTTGCCGGAGGCGCAGAAGCGTCTGAGAATTTTGGCCAGCAGCCCCCCCCAGGCAGTCCCAGCGGGAATGGCCCTGGACGGGTCTCAGCACCCTGGGGCGGCCTCCGGCGGCTCCCCTGAGGCGCCTCGCGCCCCGAGGTTGAGGTGCTGAGACCGTCCTGGACTACCCTGGGGGCCTGTTGAGACCAGCTGGGACTACCTGGGGGGCTGTCCGTGCAAGACCCGAAGCCTTACCAGAGACAGGTGGCTGTCACCCTCCTCCTGTCCCCCTCCCGGGAGACATTCAAATCCGCGTGAGGAGGAGGGGGGGTACGAGCTCCCTACCGCACTTCCTGGGCTCTTGAAGCCTCCATTTCCACCCTTCGTGGCCTCCCCAATTCCCGAGATGCCTTCTAAACTGGCTCAAGACAAACTTTAACGCACTGGAGATGCCTCAAGACCACCCCCGTGGCTTCAAAACGGCCGACGGGGCCACCAATACGTCCCAAAAGGGCCAGTGACAGCCCCGACAGGAACCGCAAGAGGTACATTGCATTGATGCTCCATTCCTTTCTCTTCGAAAAGTAAGTTTGCGTTCTCTCCGTTTCGGGCGTATGGAAATCCAAGGAGGCCCACCCGAGAGGCCTCCCAGACCGGCCCAAGACGGCCCACGAGGCCGCAAAGAAGACCCAAAGACGGCCCCAAAGAGCCCAAAAACGGCCCAAGAGGCTTCCAAGAGACGCTCAAGAATGCCTTCAAGACGGCTCAGAGGGGGGCCCAACGAGGCCCCAAACGGGGAAGTTGAAGGAGACCCGGGAGCCCTCCACCCCCAAAGTGCCCCCCAAAGAAGCACCCAATGCGCCACAAGGCCGCCGAGAGCCTGCAGAAGGACCCCGAGGCCTCCAAGAGGAACCCAAGAAGCCCCGCAACATACTTCAATTGACTTTCAACATGAATCGTCGTCCTCCTCCTCCTCCTTCTAATCCTCCTCCTCTATTTCCTTCTCCTCCTCCCCTTCCTCCTCCTCCTCCTCCTCCTACCCTCCTCTTTTTTTTGATGTTGATCGGACATGCAGACATGAAGAACGGTGCTTGTCGCATCCACGTGGGAAAACATGCAGTGAGGCCGACTTCGGCAAAGTGCGAGACGAATTAGGCAGCGCGAGCACAGCTGGATCAAAAAAGGCACCGTCGACAAGTAAAACAGGTAAGCTCGACAGGGCACAGAGAAGGCGCTTGCCCTGCAGTGCAAGAGGTGAGGTAGAGTCACCCACCATCCTCTCACAACTCCGTCTCTGCCGTGCAAGAAGGAGCGGACTCAGAGGGATCGAAATACGCGTGCAAGATACTGTGCCGAGCATTGCTCGCCTGCATCGTGGCCGGTGTGGGCTCCCATGGGTCCATGCCACGGGGAGGTGCCAGGCAGCTGCAAACCGGACATCTTGCGTATCCTCCTCCTCCTCCTCCTCCTCCTCCTCCTCCTCCTCCTTTTTGTCCTCTTTGCCGTCGTCCTCACCATCTTCCTCCTGCCCTGGGGGTCGGCGGCATGGCGTACGCCTCTCTCTCGAGAGGCAGCGAGCAACATATGCGCCACGCGCCCAGGGAGAGACGACGGGAGGGGGAGGGCGAGCGGCGGGAGCCGACGCAGCCAGAGGGCGGGGCCCCGAGGCGAGTGCGCCGGGAGCAGGAGCAGCAAGAGCGGGGCGAGGGTCAGGTCGGGCATGTTTCCCTACAGGCCGATGGTCGACTTTTTTGTTGGTTTTATTATTGTTTTGTTTGTTCTGTATGGTTTTCTGTTTTTCTATAAAACAGAACCAACAGTACTCCAAACATGCTCCAACGTGGTCACGAAATGCCAGAAACATCGGCCCCCGGCTACTTTTTGTTACACGAACAGGCTCCCCCTGACACTTCCGCATCTCTCCCTTCCACCTCCTTCCCATCCCTCCTCCTGCCCTCTCCTGCGGCTGCTCCTCCTCCCCCTTCTCTGGCCACTCCGTGCCTGCTCTTACTGCTCCTCTTCTCTTCCCCGCCTATGGGGCGAACAAAAAGATACCACGATCGCTGCTCTCTAGACCTCTCCCGAGGCGAACTCTGGCCGGGATTCAGAGGATAACCTGACCGTGGCGACGAGGGACGGGCAGCTCATCGGAATAGCTCCTTCTATGCTTCTGTGTTTCTCTGTCTTCTCTCTCTTCCTCTCTTTCTCTCTCTCTCTCTCTCTTCCTCTCTCTCTCTCTCTCTTCCTCTCTTTTTTTTTTTTTCTCTCTCTCTCTCTCTCTTCTCAGAGGCATCCTACACAGGGGCGGCGCTACTCCGAAAGCGATGCGCGCCGCCGCGCCGTGCGGGCGGCCTCGCAGAGGCAACCTGGCTGTGGATACATCGGCTACACGCAGGAGTGACCCTGGGTAAGAGTGACCTCTGGTGCGCGGCTTGTTGAGGGCCGCGGCGGAACCAAACACAAGCGCGCAAGACGCTACTGCCGCATCGCGTTCGGCGATCGGGGGACCACACTGGGCCCGCATCAAGGATCACTCCGGCGAAAGGTCACTCTTACGTGTAGTCGAATACATTCGGGGAGGGGAGCTATTCTCTGGCCGCTTCGCCACTCCCCACGAGCGGCGAGCGTAACTACCCATACCCAGGCCCTCGCGGTCCGGACTCTGGGGCGCGATCCCGTGGGCACACGGTCGCCTGCACTCGTCCCGCGCGGGGCATCCGCGAAACAACGTCCCGTATCCACGGGGTCCCGCCGCAGGCGCCTGGCCCGCGAGGCCGCAGATACAGATATGTTTTCCGCCCGTGAACTGCCCCATAGCCCCTCCAACCCCAGCCCCCCCCCACTGAGATCCGACTCCGCGAACCAAATTCAACATCTAGAACAATTGCGACCATATCCCCGGACCCATCTTTCTGCGGCACTTCCCGAACCACATCAACCTGTGATGGTCCTGGGGCCCGAAACGAAGCAACATCGCCCGTTGTCAACAACTGCGGCGCCAGAGTGGCAGTGAGCTGAGACCAGAGGAACAAGACACGGCATAAACAAAATTTCTCGGAGGTCTGCGCGGATTTCCTGGACAGCGCTGGACACCACTCCCCAGCGTGCGGAGCGCGCAAGGGTCGGCGCTGGAGGCACCGCGGCGCCAGCAGGACGGGCGGGGACCGCGCGGCGTGGAGGCAAGGGAGGTCCTTGCCTTGCGTTCTGTCTCGCCTGGTTACCAGCATCGTCTTCTGATTGTGTCGTCGCTGCTGGGATGACGCCGAACACTCTTTTTCTGACTTTGCTTCACGGGCCAGCGCGCCGCAACTCGGCATCCCGTGCGCACTGCAGCGGGCCTTTTTTCAGCCACGACGGGCCTTCCGGGCCTATCAGCCAGGACTTCAGCGTGTGCCGCTCCTCCCCCTGAGGGGCAACGAGAATGGGGGACTGGCATAGGGGGGGACACATCGACCCAGAATCGGCGATACATCGCCGACAAGTTTCACCCTCCTGGGCACGGCGGGGCTATTCTACCCCTATCGGCGATCAATGAGCGATAAGGGGGTCGATGCGCCCCCCCGAAGTATGCCTACTCCCCCCAGTCCTTGCCCCTGCTTCTCGATCCCCCTCGATCCTCGATCCTCGAGCCTCGATCGCCCGTCGATCCTCGCGGGCGCGACCCCGTGGCCCCTGGGGCAGCGCAAGCCGCGCCCCAGGGCCGCGTACAGCGGCGGCGGGTTCGGGCCGCGCCCGCCGCGCCCGATGCCCGGCGGGCGCTGCGCGCGCCGAGCCAGGCGGCGGGCTGCGCGGGAGGGGGTAGGCGGGTGGGAGGGCGCACCGAGGAGACGACGGGAAAGGAGGGGAGGAGGAGGAGGAGGAGAAGGAGGAGGAGAGGAGGAAGAGGAGAACCTATACTTGCGGGTGGCAATGGTGAGAGGTAAGAGACAGTCTAAGAGACATGGCCGCAATGGTAACGTGAGAGATAGCAGAGTGGCCGTCTTTTCCCTTTCGACGTCATACAGTACGCGGGCCCGCTGTGAGCCAAACAGCAGCGGACCCCTCATATTCGATACTGGCCGATGGAAAATGTTCCTCTGCAGCACATCGGCTACAAAGGGCCACCCGCAATGAGGCGCTCGAGAGTTCACCGCGAGGCCTCAGCAGCGGACGCTCGGCGCAACTCACACATGGCTCAGAAGCCTCAGCCCGAACGGAATGCTGTGAACCCTGGGAGCCCTGCCGGCTCGCTTGTGGTCGGCCCGTACGCGAGACGAGCTGAGCTGATCCTGACCGGGGCTGTGGATCGTAACGACTCCCCTCCGCCTGGAGGGCCCATGGACAAGCTCTTTGCCCAGTGCGACCGGCCGATGCTGCCTCGCAGCCGGGAGCGTTTGCCCGTGGGGGGCCCGCACAGATCTTGCCCGGCGTGCGCTCGAGCTGCAGCACCGATCGTGCCTTCCAGCCAGGTTCGCTCCTTGGCTCTACTTCCAGCGCGCTGCTGCTGTGGCCGCTCGCATTCGGCACCCTTTTGTGAATAGGTGCTGGCGGGCGTAGCTGGCCGTTGCGTCGCTTGCGCGGCTGTGTAAAGCTGGGGAGCACCCGCGCGCCTTGTTTCGTATGCGCGCCGATGCAGCTCGTCCAGCTGTTTGCGGCAGTGCGCCTCTAGTTGCTAACGCGTACCAATCACAACTGAGCGCGGTCAGTGATGCAACACTGACCTCTGTGGTGGCGTGCTGTCGTGCTGGCACCTCGTAGCGCAGGCGGCGCTGAGGTGCCAAAGCCGGGCACGCGCGCATCACGCCTGTCGAGTAGGCTGGCTGGCCACTGGTGGCATGGAATGGCTACTCGATGGTGCTCGTGTCGAACCAGATCTGCGATGAGCGCGTGGTCGGGTCATCCTCGCGGCGCTCGTCGCAGCTGTCGCCCAGTGCCTTGCCGCCGGCGCGTCGGACTCAAACATGCTTAAGGCCATCGGCACGTGGCGGTGGCGGTCAAGACGCACGTGCACGTATCCTGCACAGCGCGTTCAGGAGAAGAGGGATGGCGCTATGCTAAGTGGAGGCACAAGCACTTCCCGTCGATCCGTTGCATGCGCGGCGGGGTTCGCGCTGCTGGACAATGAGGGTGTGTGCGTGGCTCACGCCACCTCCAAAAGGACACTGCACCGAAGCGGGTCTTGAACTTGACCTCGCTCCAGCTGCGCAGCTGCGCTGGCAGGATGGCGGGGCTTGCTGCGGGCAGCCAGGTGCGTTTCGCTGCAGTCGTGGCCACGCGGCTCCCGATGTCGCCCATGACCTCGGCGTCGGAGGCGTCGAGCAGTTGCGTGGCGGTCATATTGCGGAGATCTGTGGTCGCCGACTACACGTCGTTCAGTACTAATCGTGCTCATTTCTAAATTGTGCTCGTTTCTAATTGTGCTCGTTCCTAAGTGTTCCTGGCCCCCTAGTGGCCAGGAAGAGGCCCAGGATAGAACAGTTAGAAATGAAAGGATCTTGGCCCCCTGAAAAATCAAAGAACTTTCGAAGAATCCCACCAGCCCTTTAGGGCGTCGGTGGTTTAACGAGTTTCCTCTTCCACCCCTCCTTCTTCCCCTTCGGGGAGGGGTTTACCCCTCCCCCTACCCCCTCCCCACTGACCTGGACAGGAGGGGCGGGGAGCGGTCAGAGCGTCCAAAACGGCCTCGCCGAGGAAGCCAACATCATTGATTTTACAAAGGTTTTGGCCCCATTTTGGCCTTCTGAGGGGGCAACGCTCATTAAGGCTCCCCTCTTCTTTGAAGCCAGAATCATTGATTTTACTAAGGTTTTGGCCCCATGTTGGCCTTCTGAGGGGGCAGCGCTAATTAAAGCTCCCCTCTTCTTTGAAGCCAGAATCATTGATTTTACTACGGTTTTGGCCCCATTTTGGCCTTCTGAGGGGGCAGCGCTAATTAAAGCTCCCCTCTTCTTTGATCGATTTCCTCCAAGATGGCCCCAAGAAGCGCCCAGGAGGCACCAAGAGGCCCCAAGATGGCCTCCAGGAGGCCCCCAAGAGGATCCCAAACGGCCCAAAGAGGCCCCCCCCAGGCACCCAAGACGCCGAAAAGCCCCTCAGGACGACCCTCTACTCGCCTGGGCGTCGTTTCTGGACGGGCTGGTGGGGATACGCGAAGCGTCTAGAATAAGAAATGAGCAATGTGTATGTGCCAGAAGGCTGGGAACATTCATGGCCGGATCCACGCGAGGAGCATCCAAAGACCAGGCGCCGGATGCACATGCGGAAGCCTGGGCGAAACGGCCATACGAGGGCAGAGCGCTGGTGAGGCACCTGGCCACATCGTGTATCCAATTCTCGCCCAGGCCCGCAGTATCACGGGTATCCAGTTTCCTGGGATGTAAGGGGAGGCTGGGGACTGGGAGAGAGTTGAAGAACGGGAGGGCGAATAGCAGGAGGATCAGGATGACGAGGAACAGGGGAATCTTCAGGATGCCAATGGGGAGGAAAGAAAAGATGAAAAGCAACAGAAGCAGCGGCATGTTGCGGAGAAGAAGAAAATAAGGAGGAGGAAGAACAGCAACCCCATTTGCGCAGCATGCAAGTTACTTATCCCTGCCTGGCGGAAAGTGGTCTGCCTTGCGTGGGCCTGGATAGAGTTGGCCGCGAAGGAGGAGGAGGAGGAAGAGGAGGAGGAGGAGGGGAGGCAGATCGTCGGAAGGGAGATGGCGGAGAGTGAGCGGAAAATATGGAAAAGGACGATAAGTAACATCGAGCCACAATCGTTTAATCGATCCGCATCCCCATCGGGCCATGGTACCTCAGCCCCACCATCTCGCTCCCCCAGTTTGGGATAGGCCCCGCGAAACCCGAAGGAAACAGCACAGATCCCCATCTAGGGCGGTCAAATCGGCCCGTGGGACCAGGGCCGCGCCAGTGGGGATAGGGATCGGTTAAACGATGCTCAGCGAGCAACCCTTTTGCGAACCCCAGCTCGTGCGCAGGTCGGGGCGCCGGTCCCCCCCGGCACCGGCTCGGCACGGCAGAGCGCGCGCGGGCCGAGAGACCCCGAAGACGAGCAACCCCTCCCACACACCGCGGCGCTTGCCGCGCGCCCGTGTGTGCCTCCCAGGCCCCGTCCCAAATTTTGTCGCTGTATTCTCTTCCCTTTTCCTTAGCGGCGCAGGGGATGCGGCACTTCTTCCCCCGCCACCGGTCTCCACTCCCTCGTGGCGGCCTTTCGCTCTGACGAGGTAAAGCGGCCTGTAGCGGGTCAACAGTCGAATAAAGGATCGACTACAAAGTTGAGTTCCTCCAGACTTGATTCCTCCGTCGAGTCCACGAACAGTGCGTAGAATGCCTCCTGGGTGTGCTGAACATCCCCACGTATTTCTCGCACGCTCGAAGCACACCTCAGTTCTGGGGCACACCACTTCTGTAGTCGACCCCCCAGCCGAAACAAGAGAGCCGTCGCTGTGCCCCGCCTCCCCAGTGGCGCCCCCTCGCCCTGGCCCTGGCCCTCGTTCTGGCCTCGGCCCCCTGGCCCTGGCCCCAGGCAGGGCCAGCCTCCCCCCCTCGCCCCCTGCCGTGGTTCTTGCTCTGCCTCCTCCTTCTCCTCCTCCTCCTCCTCCTCCTCCTCCTCCTCCTCCTCCTCCTCCTCCTCCTCCTCCTCCTCCTCCTCCTCCCCCTCCCCCTCCTCTCCCTCCTCCCTCCTCCCACCTCCCTCCTCCCTCCTCCTCCTCCTCCTCCTCCTCCTATTCTTCCTTCTCCTCCGCTTCCCAGAAGCCCCCGCCCCAACTTGTAAGAAGCCTTCTCAGGAGCTTGCCCTCTGCCGAGACCCGAAGCGCTGAGCTCTTCAGCCTGGCGTTTACTTCCTTGGGCTGCGGCATCTGAGGGGCCCGTGATCGGGCCCATGGATCATCAAGACTGGATCTGGGACGCAAAACCACCCCTGGGAAGGGGTCGGGACCTCTGGGGCCGTGGGTTCAAACATCACGTCGGCGGCTGTCTGGGGAGATGCGTCGCCGCCTCTCCCTCGCGCCTTGCACTCCCCATCCTCCTCGTCCTGCACGCCTTCCCCATGCTGTCCTCCCTCCCGTGAACATGTGTGAACACACAGGATCAGATCAATTGATACTTCCGATGGCCATTTCTAATCTGGCCGCTTCGGTCCTGCAAAATGGTGCTGCGGCTGCAGCGAAGGCCTCATGTTAGGATCGGCGCTCTGTTCCCGTCGTTCACAATGGCGCTCTCGCCCGAGCGCGGGCCACTTTTCTGGAACCGAGTCGCTTGTCATCGTTAGGGGGAAAACAAACCTACCTCGCTTTTGACCACCCTCGCTTCCAAGAGATACCAAACGATGCCAAACTGCGGCCTGTACTGGTCAGGCCGCTTGACGAGGAGGCGCGTGGTATGACTTGGTTTTGCCTGGAAGCGAAAGCGGGGTAGGTAATTCACGCTCTGCAGCCCCCCTCGCTTCCCCTCCGCCTTCCCCTGATCCTCGTGCTCCTCCCGTTCCTTCCACTCCAGCTCCCATGCTGCTGCTCTTCGTCCTCGCCCTGCTCCTTCTTCCCCTCCTCCTCCTCCTCCTCCTCCTCCTCCTCCTTCTCATCCTGTTCCTCCTGCTCATCCTCCTGCTCATCCGCCACCTCCCCCTCCTTCTCCTCCTCCTCCTCCTTCTCCTCCTCCTCCTCCTCCTCCTCATCCTGTTCCTCCTGCTCATCCTCCTGCTCATCCGCCACCTCCCCCTCCTTCTCCTCCTCCTCCTCCTTCTCCTCCTCCTCCTCCTCCCAGGTCTGCCATGGCACGCGTCCGCGGCTAGAGAAGAATCAGCGCCATGGGAAGGGATGGGCGGGAGGGTAGGATGTCGGATATGGCGCGAGCGCACCTAGCTTGCCCCCCACTCTTCCCCGCTTGCCCCCCACTCTCCCCCTACCCTTTCCTGGCGAAGCGCAAAGGCACCGATGCTGCTACTCCCCGGACCTCTCCCGGGACGCGTTCTGACCAGCATCTCGAGGCGAATCCAGCAGCGGCGCCCAGGGCCTCCCAGGAGGCCCAAGAGGGCGAAAGCGAGGCAAGAGGGCAGCGGTACCCGCACTCATGCTTGCTTCTGGTACCCATCCCCGGGCGCAGGCCGAAGCAACTCCCAACTGCCTTAGATCTGGACAACGCCTCGGAAAGTGCTGCACGCTCCAGAGGCAAGGCGGCCTCCGCGGACCCGCGATGGGGCCTCTACCAGGCACTGCCACTGTCTTGGCCCTCGCTGTCGCGGCAAGCTGGCGGTTTCGATGCTGTGTGCGGTGCTGGCGGGGCGGGCGGGGCCGGGCGGGGCGGGCGGCGGGCGGGCTCGGGTTGTATGTCATGCAACTCCCAAAGACGCCGTCTTGGAGGCGGAGGCTGTGGAGTACTGGAGTGCGTGCTGGAAACGGAGGCTGTGGAGTACTAGGCGTTGTGGTGGAGACGGAAGCTGTGGAGCACCCTCCCCTCCCTCGGTGGCGCCGAGTCCCAGCTGCTCAGCGGGCCTCGGGCGCCGCCGCGGCACCCCGCCGCCTCTTCGGCGGCCGCTCCGAGGCGGCGTCGCCCGAGGGCCGCTGCCAAGGCCCCCTGAAGATCTGCATCACCATGTCGACGCGCTCGGACCGGAGCTCCTCCTGCGCGCAGGCTCGTTGGAGGAATTGCCGAGTTCTGCCCCCGACGCTCGAGGGCCGAGGGGGTGAGGTTTTCGAGAATGGTTGGCTCATGGCGGGCCCCGGGGGGCCTTCAGAGGCCTCCGAAGGCCTCTGGGGACCTCACGTCCGTTGACCTCCGCTGGGTGTCAGGATTCGCTATGAACGAGGGATCCACGTATCGGGGAAGGTACCCCCCGAAGCATGAGGCTAGCGCCCCCGATTTAGCGTCGGATTGCGCCAGTGCTGCACGGAAAAAGGATCCTCCGATCGGAAAGACGTCAGACTCGGGCTTGGGGACTCGACTTTACCTGATGAGGCCTTCGTAGGCGTGCTAAGACCGAGTCCGAAATTTGACGTGAACTCCCGCTGCAAACATCTCACGAACGCCTGACCGTCAAACAACCTGCTGGAACCGTAAGCAAGCGGCGACAAACCCGAGTTCTGGTGAACTCGAGTCTTACGTTTCCCCGATCCTACGGTCGTGAACTTTTGCTTAACGTGTCGCTGCGGCCGCGGCGGCGGCCCTGGTGACACGCTATGCTTTGTCCCGCGAACGGATAGCGTGTCGGCATGCTTCGCGGGACGGGAGGCGGGGGAAAACTCGGGACGCTGATGCCTGGGGACCGGGACGCGGCTCGCGTGTCACGCTGAAGGGTGGTGGGCCAAAACCGGCAGCGCGACATGCTAAGCACAAGTTCCTGACCGTAGGCTCGGGGGGATACAAAGGTGGAGTAGGGGCACAGGATGGCAGAGGTGAGGTTCGGGGAAACCCGCTGTAAACGGCCCCTGGAAGAAAGACATGCTAGCATCCATCTGGATTCGTTATGTGATCCCACTTGGGCTAGCCCCCCCCTCTAAGAACCCAGATAGGCAACCACATGCAGACAAGAGTTTGCCAGGCGGACAATGTCTGCTGTGCTGAGTTCGGCTTGCGCAACCTACTACACTGAGGCCGCAACTGCGCAGTGCGCAGTATCGGCACCTCTTTGGGCTCCCTCGGCGTGTGAGGCTCAAGCATCAGGCATCAAGCGGCCCTACTCCAGCTTACTGCCACTCACGCCAGTCCTGCCACCTCACTCTCTGTACCACCCCCACACTCTTGCATCACCTCTCTGCGATGACATATTTCTCGCATGTGATGGGTTCTCCCTAGCCTGGGGACTGCCAGAACCAACGTGACAGGTACTCCAGTCCGCAACCTGCTGAAGAACCCCTGGGATCAGAGGCACGACGACAAAAGGCCGCATAGTGGCCACGGTCCGGTCCCGTCCCTCACTCGTCTGCTGGGTGTTTAGAGCGGCATGGAGGCACGCTCAGGCAGCCGGACTGTGACCCCAAGCCGAGAGGACCGGAAGGGGAAGGAGAGCCAGTCACGAACAGGAATTGCGACCTTGTTCCAGAAACATCTTGCCCCTCTGACATCAAGTACCAATGGTCTCCAGAAGGACTTCGCGAAATTGAGCAACGAGGTAAACAAGTTGGGCACTGACCTGACCGCATTGACACGGTCAAGGCGAGCATAATTGCATGACAAAATCTTCGGAGACATACAGCGCCCCCCTGACGCCAACACCATAGAGGTAAAAATCAGGGGATGAATCCAACAGGCTATGACTGATAATACGAAACGACAGATGCCTCACGTTCCTTCCAAAGAACCGGACAAGAGGCACTACACGGCAATCATCGGGAAGATGGATGCTCTCAACACCCTCCCAGAGGCGGCCACATGGCTGAAGGATAAGCCAGCCGCCCTCCGAGGCCCTGAGCCCACCAGCGTTTACTCAAAGGGTGAGCTCCAGGGGATCGTGCTCGAACACAGAGCTTTGAGGGACGGCGGACAGAGGCCTGGCCGTGAGCTGGCCTCGAGCGGCGGGCCTCCAGCCCGGGGGCGGGAAAGGGTGGTGGGCCGGCGCCGACCGTCCAGCATCGCGAAAGGAAGGGCGGCTCGAAACTCCTGCTTCGGCCGCAAGCGGCGGAGGAACACCGAATGGCCACTGCCACACACATTCACAATATAGATATATATACTAGAACCACGCGCGCGCTTCGCGCGCGCTTAGGTTCTAGTTTGCTCCGAAAACGGTGTTCGCAAGCACGGGTCCGATTCCGTGGCGATTCGCGGGAAATCTACGTCCGAAAATGACGTGTTGCCAGAGGCAGGTCCGCGGATGTTTTAATGCAACGTGTCCAGTGTATCCAACGATTGCATACTTGTTACATATGCTACATATTGTAATGTTCTGCAATATTATGCCCCCCCCCCCCCCCTTGGAGCCGCGCCACATCGTCGGACCAAATCTGGAGGGCCTCATTCTGGGCCTCAAAACATAGAAAGACCTATGGAAAATCAACAATTTCGGCCTCTTGGGCCTCTTGGGACTCCAAGAGGGCCTCAAGATGGCCGACGATGGCCCCAAGACAGCCCAAGACGGCCTCAAGACGGCCCAAAATGGCCCCAAGAGGGCCCATGAGGCTCCCAAGAAGATCCACGAGAGCACTCAAACCCGAACAATCTTTCCATGACACCCTCACCCTTAGACCCGAACCTTGAGACCGAAGACCCGAGCCCAGAAATCGAACCCGAACGCCTCAACATCTCAAATGAAGAGGCTCATCCCCGCTCCACCGTTTCCTCCTTCCTTCTGAATCCTTCCTTCTTCCACTTGCTCAAACTCCTCCTCCTCCTCCTCCTCCTCCTCCTCCTCCCTCCTCCTCATCGCCCTCCTCCTCCCACTCCTCCTCCTCCTCCTCCTCCTCCTCCTCCTCCTCCTCCTCCTCCTCTCCTCCTTCTCCCCCTCCTCCTCCTCCTCCTCCCCCTCCTCCTCCTCCTTTCTCCTCCTTCTCCTCCTCATCCCCGTCCCTCCCCTCCCCCTCCTCGTCCTCCCCATCCCCCTCCAATGCGCCGGGCCGGGCATGGTATGGAAACTGCCTTCGCCGACTCTCTGCCGCCTTGCCTCTTGGGGCCTCTTTGGGGCCTCTTAAGCACCTCTTGGAAGCCTCTTGGGGGCCTCTTGGGGGCCTCTTGGGGCATCCTGGGGCCTTCTTGGGGTTGTCTTGGGGCCCTCTCGGGCCGTTTTGGGGGCCTCTTTGGCCGTCTTGGCGCCCTCTCGGGCCGTCTTGGGCGCCTCTTGGGAACCTCTTGGGCCGTCTTGGGCGGACTGGGAGGCCCGGGGGCCGCCCGAGGAGCGTCCCAGGAAGCCCTCCTAGGCCCTCTTAGCGCTGTCCTCAGGCGTCCTGGGGCGTCCTTGGGCGCCTCCTGGGGCTGTCTGACAACTCGGACAGCCAAGGGATGAGATATCCTAAAAATGTACGTTTTACGAAGGGAATGGGGCCATTTTGGTTTCCCGGGGCGCTCTTGGGGGGCCTCTTGGAGGCCTCTTGGGGCGGTTTGATGGCCTCTTGTCCCTTCTGGAAGCGATCTTTGGCGGTCTTGAAGCGATCCTGGGCTTCTCTCGGCGCTCTTGGAGCCTTCTTTGGCGGACTGGGAGGCCCGGGGGCCGCCCGAGGAGCGTCCCGGGAGGCCTTCCTGGGCTGTCTTCGGGCTATCCTAGGGCGCCTCGTGGGGCTTTCGGACCGCTCCGACAGCCAAGGGAGCTGATATCCTAAAAATGTACGTTTTACGGAGGGAATGGGGCCATTTTGGTCTCCCGGGGCGCTCTTGGGGGGCCTCTTGGAGGCCTCTTGGGGCGGTTTGATGGCCTCTTGGCCCTTCTGGAAGCGATCTTTTGCGGTCTTGAAGCGATCCTGGGGTTCTCTCGGCGCTCTTGGAGCCTTCTTGGGCGGACTGGGCAGCCCGGGGGCCGCCGGAGGAGCGTCCCGGGAGGCCCTCCTGGGCCGTCTTGGGGCTGTCCTCAGTCGTCCTGGAGCGTCCTTGGGCGCCTCGTGGGGCTTTCTGGCCGCTCCGACAGCTAAGGGAGCTGATATCGTAAAAATGTACGTTTTACGAAGGAAATGGGGCTATTTTGGTCTCCCGGGGCGCTCGTGGGGGGCCTCTTGAAGGCCTCTTGGGGCGGTTTGAGCGCCTCTTGACCCTTCTGGAAGCGATCTTTGGCGGTCTTGAAGCGATCCTGGGGTTCTCTCGGCGCTCCTGAAGCCCTCTTGGGCGGGCTGGAACGCGCGGGGGCCGCCGGAAGGGCGCCCCGGGAGAGGGCCGCACCCTATATACAAGGGAGGTTCTGGCCCGGGGCCCGGGGCCCGGGATCTCCCATATATGTATATGTCACAGATTCCTCCCCGGACACGGTCGCAGTCGCTCACGATGCACGCAGGCAGGAACACGGGGGAGTGTGACTGGCACTGGGAGTGGAGAAGCTGGGAGGAATTGCACAATCATCCTGGAGTAAAGGTGTTGAAGCAGAAGGCGAACGACCTGGCGTCTCACGCCGCCTCGGGTATGAAGGTCAAGCTTAAGGGCGGCGCCGAGGGAGCGTCGAAAGGTGCTCCTCATGAACACCCTGGGCAATAAGAAACGCCCCACAGACATAGTTTCACCGGCAGCGGCAGTCGGCACTACTGCCACCAAGAGTCCCAATCGATTACGAATTCGATCTCATTGTACACATCCATACATGGGTACAACTCGCTGGGGCTGTTGGGCCTGGCTTTCGAGGTTGGCCAGTACACCCGTGCAGGCGTGATGCTGTATTTGGCTCGTAGAAGTAGGTGGAAGGGCTGACGAAAGAGAAAGTCGACGAGCGTCAAGTATACATGCAAGTGCTGGACATTGACATTCTTGCAAGTCAAGAGACACGCAGGCATGTGCCCGTCCATCGCGTCACTGGCCAAAGGTATTCACAGCCTTCTCGGAAGATCCCGGCGACCATGAAACTGCTGGGATCAAGTTTTTTGTTTCCCCGCGCGACCGCAGCAGAGTGAGCAAATCCAGCATGGATTCATCGAAGATCATGTACCTGAATCTGCCAGTTTCCGGTGGTAAGATACCCGTTCTCACTATTTACGCACCTCATGACGGCAAACCG